TTTAGTAACCACGGCAACACCGTTCATCGAAATCAAAAACCGATACAAAGAATTATGTATCTTAGTGTAGTCTACTTGTGTGCCAAGTTAAATTGAAATCAGATTAAAACTGTAGAAGGAGTAGCATTTTGAAAGAATTTTACAGAAATTTCTATTTTTAGTAACCACGGCAACACTGTTCATCGAAATCAAAAACCGATAAACAGAATTATGTATCTTAGTGTAGTCTACTTGTGTGCCAAGTTATATTGAAATCGGACCAAAACTGTAGGAGAAGTAGCATTTTGAAAGAATTTCACAGAAATTTCTATTTTTAGTAACCACGGCAACACCGTTCATCGAAATCAAAAACCGATACAAAGAATTATGTATCTTAGTGTAGTCTACTTGTGTGCCAAGTTATATTGAAATCAGACCAAAACTGTAGGAGAAGTAGCATTTTGAAATAATTTCACAGAAATTTCTATTTTTAGTAACCACGGCAACACCGTTCATCAAAATCAAAAACCGATATACAGAATTATGTATCTTAGTGTAGTCTACTTGTGTGCCAAGTTATATTAAAATCAGACCAAAACTGTAGGAGGAGTAGCGTTTTGAAAAATTGTTTACAGACAGACGGACAGACAGACAGCTAGACAGACAGACGGACGGACGACGGACGCATTACTATCGCATAAGCTCTTCTGGTCTCTGACCAGTAGAGCTAAAAATAAAGCTTCTTTAGTCTTTGTTTGCATTTTCTTCAACTGCATGGAAGGGAAAAATGGATTTATTTTTTAAAATAAAAATTTATCATGGTGTATCTCTATTCCAATTCAATTATTATGGCTAGACTAGAGCAAAGCTCGTTGCAAAGCAACGAGAAGGTCTTCCATCCTGTTTGACCGGAAGTAGCTCTCATTTTTCACGAAAATGAGAAATAACGCCTAAAAATGCTTTGAATCCTTTAAAGCTATGTTAATTTATGCAAACATAAGCCATTTTTTGCTACTTCCGGTTTGACCGGAAGTGACGACGACACACGGAAAATTAAATTTTATGCTCCCAGAGACATATGTTACCCCAAAACTTGTCAAAAACAGCAAAAATTTGCGTTTTCCGACTACTTCCGGTTTGGCCGGAAGTGGCGACGCTGGATGTATTTTGTCGACTCCATTAGATTAAGCTTGACATTTTCAATAACTTTGCTTCTTTGATGTATAACAAATTCTCAATGCTTTTTGAGATATCTGGAAAAAAAACTTTTGGCCCCTCTAGATCCCTTAATTAAGGGGTTAGCCCTTTTTCCGACATATCATTTGAAAGATCTTTTAATTCTGCACAAACTATGTTCTATATAATTTAACAAAATATTTTTAGTTTAGAAGATAAAAGGCAAAATATGAGTAATTTTTGGTTCTTTTAAGCGTTCTAATTTTTGACCCCTATATAGCGCCATTTTGAATAGAGAAATCGAAAAACAAAAACCGATGTGCACAACTTCAATCCTTCTATTATCTAAAATCAGTAGAATTTCTGCTCCAGCTTTAGCCGTCTCTGAGCCTTTGTCTGGAAAACGAAAGCCTATAAATTTTCGTTTAAAGGGAAATAACTCAAAACCGGAAGTGACTTTTTAAAATTTTAGTCAGCATTCTGATAGAATTTATAAACATCTATAACCTTTCAAAATTTGAGCGAAATCCGTTGAGAAATGAGTGAGATATGAGGCCTCAAAGTTGCGGTCTAGGAAAGCAGAAAAAAAAAAAAACTAGAGCCGAGCTCATTGCAAAGCAACGAGTAGGTCTTCCGTCGGAGCTGCGGACAGGGAGAAATGACCTTGGGTCAAGGTCATTCCACGTTCTAATGTTAAAGCAATCTTTTAAGGGTAGATGTCATCTTATTTATGTTTTACTATTAAAAAAGATAGTAAAGGAATGTTTGCGACCTTGACCTTGTTAAAATGACCTTACGTCACACCATGACACACGCTGGTGATAAGCAATGCCATTTGTGTGCTACCGTATTGACGAATTCTTAAGCTATATTTTTTTCGATAGGCCTTGTCACAGCTAATACGTGTATACATGTGTAAATCTAGGTATGAAAGCGTTATCCTTTCTTTATCAAAAGTCATGGTTAAAATTGTGAAAAGTAAGTTCATTATATGCTAGTATTTGAAATGATTTTATCACAGGTACATACATTTGATTTTTGTGTAATACGAAAACCCTATCTCTTCTCATTCGTCAAGGTCACGTTGTCAAAATCAGCGTATCGGTATTTAAAAAAATGTTGTTACAGGTAATACACAGTGGTAAAATAAAAGCCCTAATCGATCTCTTTTCTCTCAAAAGGTATGACTATGGTTAATATTTTTGAAAAGTGGGTCAAACTTCAAGGTCAAAGGGTCAAAAATCATAATGAATTTTTAAAGGCGTTGACACAGGTATTACATGTACATGTTTATAAAATGAAAGCTTTTAATAGTTATGGTCAATTTAAAGCAATGTTATTTTTTAAGTAGGTCAAGATCAAGGTCACGGAGTTAAAAATCACAGTATATTTGAAAATCAGATGTCACAAATAATGCACATGTGAAATATGAAAGTCCTATTTCAACTCATTCAATAGTTATTATCAAGTTTAAAGTTCTCGTGACAGATGGACACTGTCAGACTGGTTGACAAATAAGGTTTAATGTGCCCTAATAAAAATAAATACACGTTATTTGAACATGATAAATTGAGAAATACGAAGAATGAAAAACTAGAAAATATTAGAAAAAAATTGCACTGCAGCTATATTCAATATCCGTGTTTTTCAACTGCTTGAATCTAAAAATATTATTTACCGTGTGTCTCTAACACATTCCTTAAACTTTTCTACAGTTAAACATTCCTTACAAGCGTTTTTAATAGTCCTTCTGAGCCTGAACTTGAGATAATATGGATGGCACTGTAGCTCTCTGGTGATCCATCTCAATTTTTTTAGAACAGCTAGCGAGCTACAGATCTGCAGCATGACAATTGTCATAAAGTTAATTTTACAAATTCATTTGAAATGTAACAGAATTGAATTTTATGAAAAAAATTATTTCTAATGCTTATTTTTAACATATGCTAAAATTATTTACCTATCAAGTTAAGTTAAGACAGTAAAAAGGAATTTGATACTCAGTATTTATCTAAGGAATTAGTGTCAATCCTCTACCTCACAGCGTTCGACTTGTATGATAATTGCGTATGTGTGATGAAACTGCCGTGAACTATCCCGGACATGAACATTAGATGTACTGGACATTCCGTCATCAAGAAAATATAGTTTTACTCTGGACTATTCCGAGTTACCAAAACGTTTGTATGTATGTCCATGTGTGTGCGTTTCAACCTGTCTTTGTTTTATGTGACTTGACTTGATTTATTTTTCAAAATACAAACTTTAACGTTTTATTGCTTGACTTTCGTTTTAAAAACTTGTGTTACTGTCACCAATTATATTCTATTAACTTTGTTTAATTGTCGGAAATGCAATGCAAAATTCAGGAAATCAAATGCAGCGAAAACTGGTACCCCCCCCCCCCCCCCCCCAAAAAAAAAAAAAAAAAAAAACTAGTACATGTAGTACATGTACACACTTCGATGCTCGATTGTACACTCTAGAAATTAAAAAGTTTATGAATAAAAAAGTTTAGTGAGGCATACTCATCTCTGCCGACCTTTTCTTAAATCTATTTGACAACCTGCGAATTAAAAACAATATCGCGTATGATTTTTGGTTAATATTAAAAAGTTATGGAGTAATCATGGATTTCAACACCAGCCCTGACCTGCCATTCTCGACTCTAAAGGAAAGCATTGTATCATTTCAGGGGGTTACGTATTGCAATGAGAGGAAATTTAATAATTTAATCTCTTTTAGTCCAATAAACACGAAAGAAAGGCTTGGAATATTTGTATGAAATTACAGGAAGAAATTTTGCATTTGTTAGAAGAATTTCTAATTATACTCTTTTTTTTTCTCGTATTCTTAAATCTCATGTTGGGTGCTCTTCTGTGTAAAACAGCATGTAGTTTAGTTAATATCATGTACATGCACATAAAATCGTTTCATTGTGATATTCTAGCTTTTTATTTGAGGAAATAAAAGAAATTTATGAGCATATCATTCGGAAAAATCCAATGATAAGTTATGTAGCAAATTATGCAAAACTCAAAGTTACTTAATTTTATTTTCGATTTTCATGAGAATTGAAAACGTCACTTCCACTTACAATTTACTGTGTGCATTTGTCATGTTTATTTGTAATTGCTAATTTAAACAACATCGCAATTTTTCCTGAAATAAATTAAGCAACAATTAGAATAACTTGATATAGGCCCGTATACATATAACGATTGCAATTACTTCAAAGTTGAGAGGGAGACGACGGTACCTAAAAAATGTGTACCTTTCCAATAATATAGAATCATCCGTTCAAATTAAAAACAATTAAGTTGCAGTAGTGATATCCCCGATTCTTTAAATAACGAAACTATAATGGACTTCACAAGGGTAGAATTCAAACATTAATTTATGTACATGTGCAATTACAATCACTATCAAAATTGGCAGAGTTATCGATAGGTCATCCTGCGTCACCTTTCAGTGTAACCGATGGACTCGTCCAGAGAAATCATCTATACCTGAGCAAAATCGCAGCGCCTCTTATTCATTCGTCAAAGAATAGAATCAGACATTTTATCTTTAAATACTCGTACATGTTCAAGAAAACCTTTATATTTGTGTCTAGAAATATTCTTACGATTTACGCAAATAACAAATTCTTGATTTTAAACTGAGTAAATCGATGACTAGCATCGTTTTAGATAACTCTGGGACTCGCGTAAAAATCAAAGAGCGGTAATGTTGACCTCCGGAATGTATATAGGTCAATGCATGCGCTATCGATAAACAGGTTGCACAACTGTAAACAAAGCAGTCAAGGTCCGACGAAAATTCACGATGCATGAATAAAATGACAGTGAATTATTTTAAGCTTGATTTTTTTTTTAATAAATAATGCAACATTGAGTATCAATCGAATGAGAGATGATAAGTATTTTTCCTATCTCCCGTCTTGTAATTCAAACTAAATACAAGGAGAAAGTTGTCTCTGAATAATCTGTATGACATCCAGCTAGAGAATACGTTAAGAACTTTTTTCAACAAAGTTTAACATTCAATTTAGTAACGTATATTATTCTTATCCAGTTTATTTCAGTTATACGTGTTATACGCGTACGCATAAAGAATTCTTCACTTGCCGTATAAAATTAATCAGTTACCTGTACATAAAGTTTGCTGCTCATTCAATAACACAAGATTCGAACAAAATAACGTTTTCATGAGATCAATAAGATGTTAAAGACCCATTTCAAATCGATAACCATATCGAAATATTTACCGTTTTTGAGTTATAATGCAAAAACTATCATGCTCCCTTGACCCCTAATTTGAGGGGCCAGCCCCTTTTTAATGATGTCAAATGATAGATCTTAAAATTATGCACAATATTTGTGAAATATGTCTTAACAAATTATTTTTAGTTTAAAAGATACACAAGGAAATATATGTAAAATTTGGCGCTTTTAGGCATTCTCATTTTTGACCCCTATCTAGCACCGTTTGGAGCGCAGAAATCGAAAAAGAAAAACCGATGTGCACAACTTCAATTCTTCTAGTATTTAAATGCAGTAGACATTCTGCTCCAGCTTTTGTCGTTTCTGAGCCTTTATCTGGAAACGAACAGTACCAAATTTTCACTTAAAGGGAAATAACTCGAAAGCGGAAGGGAATTTTTGAAATGTATGAGAACATTTTAATTGAGTTTTGTAACGTCCAAAAACTCTGAAAATTTGAGCGAAATCCGTTGAGGAATGAGAGAGTTATGTGGTCTCAAAGTTGGCGTCTAGAAAAAAAAAAAAAGAATAATAGGGAATAATCTTAACCATCAGAATCAGTAGAAGGTCTTCCGCCTGAGCGGAAGACCTTAATAATAATCTTTACCAACAGAATCAGTAGAAGGTCTTCCGTTGGAAACGGAAGACCTTAATTAGCAAAATATAGAATAATAACAATACAGTATTTCAAGTTTTATTTCTATTTTACAATTTTCAGATTTTCCCAATTCATTTCTGCAAAAATTAACACTAGGACTTGAAGCATGTTGTTCAGAACTAAAACCATTACCTTCAATTTTGTGATAGAGGCTGTCTTTACTGTTACAACAATACCATGACCTGATGTGGTGTAAGCACCTGAAAGAAGAGATTTTTTTTGTTTTGAGTGTAAGTACATAAATCAGGTATTCTGATATTAGAGCAAAAGTGAGTAGAGATACTTTAGTTTAATTCTAAGCATTCAAACATGAACACTGAGAAATCCATTTTCATTTCTTATACATGCAATACTCACCCGAACCACTGGAGTACACAGTTTTATTTAACATCTGCATTTCATGGTCTTCAAAAGCCTTAAGGAAAAATTAAGATTTTTTTTTTTCAATTTTCACATACCTGACGTTCTTAAACCAAAAATAAGCATCTATAATAAAGAATATTGCTGGTATATGCAAACTTTAAATATATTTTTTTCCATTTTCATCCCTGATAAGTATATGATACAAGAAAGCAAAACTAGAACTAACTTTGATGGTTTTTGTATCTGCTGGATGGAGAACAAACTGCACTTGTTTAACATTACAGTTTGGATGGTTGTTGGAATATTTCTTCACTTCATGGTAAAAATTTTTGGCCACCTCTGTAGCTGAATAGTTCATTTTTCCTGTTCCCATGGCAGCAAAAGCAATGGAGCTGTATCCTGATTGGTCGGCATGCTTCATACAGTCCGCCACAAATTTACACAAGGTCTGGATAAAAAAAAAAAAAAATTAGGAAAAGAAAGGGTTATGAAATTTTTACTACAGATAAATGGTTTGAAATTAAAGGTTTTTCTTCAATCAACTTTGCCAGGTTTTAAATTAACCCAAACAAACTTTTGTTAATTAAAAGAGATAATTCTTGCTTATTTTAATCTGCCCATTTTAAATTTCCCTATATGTGAACAAAAGGGGGATATTCCTGCATACAGTAATGTAATGATACTAGTCCATTCTGGATCGAATACAGGTGCGGATCTAGAAATTTTTCATAGGGGAAGGGGAGGGGGGTTGAAGAGGAAAATAGTTATTATAACATAAGTTTTACATAATACATGTACTTAAATAACTCAGTAGGATTCAGCTAGGGTGGAGTATGGTTTTTAAAAGTGGGAGGTTGATCAACCTGCGAAAAAATACTTACCTGGATTCCTACCTGAAAGTTTTTGAAAAGGAAAGGAAAATAAATCTCCGAACCCCAAATTCCTATTTTGTAAAGGATGTGAGATTTATTTTGTTTTTACAACCAAATTTCTTTATATATTACAACATTAGCCTTTCACTAAACATTTTCTATAGTAAAACACAACAAGAGGCCCATGGGCCACATCGCTCACCTGAGCACTGTGGCTGGGAAAAAGTAGAAATTGGATTATTATTGAATAGTTTATATCAAAAAGTAGTCCCATGACCAATCATGGCTTTGGTATTCTTGATAAGGCCATTCCCAGTTTTTTCTATGTTTAGCGTCCGCGTGCGCCTTTTTGACATCCCATGTCAGAAGAAACAAACAGAATCAGGAGTCCGAAAATTAATTATTCAGGTCAAAATTTGTGATTTCCAGCAACATCTCTAAATATTTGGATAATATTTCATTATTGGAATAGTTTCAATATTAAATACCTTGATTTTGCTGACGAAAATAACTTTCTTTATGAAAAATAATTAAATGAAATCATATCTTTTGAATTACGTCATTCTTATTACTATAAACATGATTAAATACGTGTTTTTTTTTTTTTTGACTTGTGTGTTTTTTGCAAATAGGTAGGTAGGTTTTTCAAAGATGGGTGGACGCTAAACAGAGAAAAAACTCGGAATGGCCTAAGATGATTTCTAAAGAATTTTCCTATATATTTCTCTGTAAAACTTTGATTGGCCTTTGTGGCCCCGCCCTACCCCTGGGGGTCATGATTTGAACAAACTTGAATCTATACTACCTGAGGATGCTTCAATATAAATATGATATGGCTTTGTTATTCTTGAGAAGAAGATTTTTAAAGAATTTTCCTATATATTTCAATGTAAAACTTTGGTCGGCCATTGTGGCCCCGCCCTACCCCCAGAGGTCATGATTTGATCAAACTTTAATCTACACTACCTGAAGATGCTTCCAAATAAATATGACCAATTCTGGTTTTGTTATTCTTGAGAAGAAGATTTTTACAAAATTTTCCTATATATTTCAATGTAAAACTTTGGGCGGCCATTTTGGCCTCGCCCTACCCCCGGGGGTCATGATTTGAACAAACTTGAATCTACACTACCTGAGGATGCTTCCATATAAATATGATGAATTATGGCTTGGTCATTCTTAAGAAGAAGATTTTTAAAGAATTTTCCTATATATTTCTATGTAAAACTCTGGGCAGCCATTGCCGCCCTGCCCTACCCTTGGGGGTCATGATTTGAACAAATTTGAATCTACACTATCTGAGGATGTTTCCACATAAGTTTCATTTTTCCTGGCACAGTGGTTCTTGAGAAGAAGATTTTTAAAAGATACCACCAAATTTTCAATGATTCCCAATTATCTCCCCTTGAATTAGGGCATGGCCCTTCATTTGAACAAACTTGAATCCCCTTTATGCAAGGATGCTTTGTGGCAAGTTTGGTTGAAATTGGCCCAGTGGTTCTTGAGAAGAAGTCAAAAATGTGAAAAGTTTACAGACAGACAGACGGACAGACGGACGCCGGACAAAATGTGATCAGAAAAGCTCACTTGAGCCTTCGGCTAACAAAAATTTGGAACTTTCATCTTTCTCTTTCTTTTTTGCAAATCCAAAGGGGGTGGGGAGGGGGGTTGCAACCCCCATACCCTCCCCCCCTCTGGATCCGCCACTGAAACATAATACATGTAGTGTGGCCTTAACTTCAGTTTACACCCATTCTATTCTTATTTTAACTGGGACAATTCTGTAATGTAAATTGTAGACGAACCCCGAAATCAATAAGAGAAATCAAAGTACTGGAATCCTCTCATTAAGTTAACTCTAACAGGATCCTTCATTACTTACTGTCTGTGATTTCTCTTCTTCACCAGGAATGGCAGTTAAATACACTTCTTGACATTTCAGCCCAGCTCCTGGAATACTAGCAAAGTCCCCAAAGTTAGCGATGCCGCTGGGGTACTTCACTTTAGCTCCCTCTTGTAGCAAGTCCCCTCCACCTTGTAACAGAGACTGGGCAGCTTTTCCAGATGACGCTAGATTCAGCGACTTTTCACAAGCGACAACTAAGACATCAGCCTGCATGAACAAAAGCCTACATTTAATACAGAGAACAAGATATCTGATGATTGAAAGGTTCTTTATAAGACACCTAAAATTAAAGCCTTTCATTGGCAGATAATAGAAAAATTATTAATATACATGTGGGTGCTGTACGATAAAATAAACATATTTTAGTCTGGGGCACCATTCCTGCTACACTCAGACAATAGACAATTGGTAACAATTAACACACACTCAATCAGCTTGGTCTTGGTCTTCTTGAACAAAACTCAAAAATATTTTTTGTAGAATATTTAAATATGTAAAAGTTTTAACGTACGCTGTGTTTTCCAATTTCACCCTTTACAATGGAAACCTTCATCTTGCTCTTTGTGATGTATGGACCCTTTCTGGAAGCTGTATAAAAATTTAAGAAATACTGTTGAACTTTGGTATCTCTAACAATAAAATTTCAAATACCATGTCCCATTTAGGTTTTTTAGAATATATTTTAACCTGATATTTTGAATCCTGGTCTGCATGGATATATAGTTTTTTTGTAGTCCCATTAAGTTTGAGTTAATGATCGAGGTTTGACTGTAATTCTCCTAATGACTTATAACTTAACTTTGTAATATAATTATTTTTTTTTTTTTTTTACCATTTTTGAATTGAATAAATCATCTTTAGATTTAAAACAAATAATATACAATATATACATGTATTTTAATAAGAAGCAATAAAACATACCACCTTTTGTTTTGGTTTTAGGGAGATGAGGATTAAGTCGATGTTTCTCCTCCGCTTCAAATGCCTGAAAATAGTCATGATTATAAGAAACATTTACTCTGCTTTGTATTTGTAGAAAAAAATTTATGCAATAATGAAAATTAATCATCAAGAATTTATTTCAAAGTGATGAATTGTGAATAATACATAGTTGGTTTACAGTAAAAATAATTCATTGATAAATTTGAAAATAATATCCTCTTCTCAGTGAAATTTATGCCTACTGATATGTAAAAATATTATTATAGCATGTTCCTCAGTCTAATCTTTTCTGTAAGAGGAGGAAATGTAAATAATCTGAACAAAAATCAACCTGATTGAAGGGTTATTTCTTTTACTGTTGTAAATCACCCGTATGTCCTTGCAGACTCAAAATTCTGATCTTACCCAATCAACATTTTCATAATTCTTTGCTTCAACCTGAAAACATACTTATTCACTGCAACTCCACTCACCTCACAAGTTTCCAGATCTCCATGGTAACAGATGAATTTGACCTCTTTGACCTGAGTCCCCGCACATTTGCGGTCGAAGTCGATGACAGTCTGGTACATCATCTCTGCTACCTGGTCTTTGGGGTAGCCCAGCTGGCCCGTGCCCAAGGCTGCGAAAACAATGGACTGGTGGGATGAATTGTGGGCCGTTCTCAGGCATTTGTTCATAAACTCCACCAATATCTAGAAATGTATCATAGTTTTTTTACTGTATTTGTGAAATTTCATATTTCAAGGCTTCTTTATAAGTCAGAATTTGATACATTTTATCAGACAAATAAGATGTTATTAAATGAAATTGTGTTTTAACAAAACTCTTACAGTAAGCAAACTATTACAGAAAACTTGTAGCTATAAGAATATAAGGTATTTTCACAGTATTTAGAAAGTATAGAACTCAGGCAAATTAAGAAAATCCTTAAATATTAATCATTGTGATTTCAATTCAATACTAAGAATAAGTTAATCCTTCATCATGTTCATTAGATTTCACTGTTGCAGGTAAAAAATAGAAAAATAGTGTCTGAAACATGTCAGTCCTGTTTGACATGTTACTGTATACAGGGGAATTTTAGGCCCTATTTTATTTTGAAATTCCCGCTTTCATTCTAATTGCTAGAGGGGAGAGTTAAAAAGGGGCCAATTCCAAGAAAAAAGCAATATCTCCATAGCATTACTATTTTGTTTGTATATCGAAAATGGGAAAGTCATTTTAAAGATTGAGAAAGGGCAAAAATGACATAGGTCAAAAATAATAACCCTGTACCCTGTATCCAGTACATATATACAGTAAAACTCGTAAAATGCAAACACGGATATTGCGAATTCATAGATATAGCGAAGTAATTTCATAGGTACCAGTGATTTCGCAATAACCGAGTTTTACTGTTACAGTGGTAAATGAGTTTACATGCAACAATCTCTGATTTAGGATATTCTGAAAAACAGAAGGAGGACACATCACATTTTAGGCAAGATCTTTCAAATATTTCTTAGTTTAATATTTTCAAGAGAGAGATTTTAAAACAAGCTCTGTTCAAGGAATTTGATTTTTCCGAAAAAGTTCCATAAAAAATTCCAGAACACAATTTGCAAACCTCTGCCTCAGAATTATATGCATTATCCTGCAATTAAACATCAATTAATTTTCCCTTAAAAATTATCTCATTAGAAGGACATGGTTTAACAAAGTAATTAATTCCTAAAATTTCCATTATTCGAAACTTCTTCAGGAAAAAAACTGATTTCATCCATTACTTGCTTACATATTTATACCCCTCAAATTAATTTTCCTTTTATATTTTATTAACTTTTTATAAAAGAAATTTGTCTACACATATCAAAAGCTGCATTCTTTCTGAAAATGAAACCTCATTTAAAACCCTAGCTTTCCAACACTGACCTTGCCGTGCGTGGACCCCCAGTTGGGGAGATAACCCAGGTACAGCTCTTGACACTTCAGGTTCCCCCCTCCGATGATAGCCAGCTCCCCCGCCTGGATGCCATTAGGGTACTTAGTCTCCACCTCCGCCATCAGTCCTTGTCCACCTACTTCTAGCAGATTCTTACTGGATTTTCCTTTATTCAGATGAAGATCCTGTGCCACAGAACACACAATGACATCTCCCTAGATTTAAAAAAAATTTACAATTACCTCTCCCTGAAATCTTTCCATTCCTTTTCAAATCAAGTCTCCTACATGCAGAAATTTCATGAATACATAAAACTGTAAGAATTGTCTATGGACACCATGACTCCAAAGAAATTGGTCAGATTTAGACAACATTTTAAACAACTCTACTTATTGAAAGGGATCGACTTGTTACATTAAAATAATATTGGCCAGGACAATATTTCAGAATACACAAATCTGGATAAAAGGTTTCACTGTATATTTAATGATTAATCCTGGTACCCAGATAAAGCACCAATAACGGTGTATTTTTACCTGTTGTTTTGCCAGCTCCCCCCTGATCAGTCTAATTATGATGTTACTCTCAGCACAGCAGTAAGGTCCTTTCTGAATCTGTGGAGCTTGCACAGGTGTGGGTCTCTCTGGAAAAATTGAAAAGAAAGAAGAACTGATAAATGGGAATTTGATATACATGTATACACGCAGGGAAATTTTTGCCCTCGTTTTATTCTTGCCTCATTCGCCCTAACCTTGAATGGGCGAATTAAAAACAGGGCAAATTCAAATAATTCAGTATAATTTCTCTAACAAAAGTGTGACTGGTAGAATTTTAGATGGGGAAAAATTATTTTCAAGATGGAAAAAGGCGAAAATAAAGTGGGCCAAAAATAACCATGTATACAGTACCCAGTAGTTATATATTCATTACTGGCACAATTTTTTTCCTTATAAAAAAGGACAAAATTTCAAACTGTGTATATTTAAAATTCAATACCAAGTGCAGAAAAATAAACTTGCCTTCTTCATAAAAATCCCTTATTCCAGGCATTGGCATTGAATGGAACTCCCCTCTTTCATGCATACCTCGTCGTTTGGTTCGGACTGGTTCTGCTTTAAATGTGAAATCTGGCTGTTTGGGACCGGTAAACATGATAACGGAACGATACTTTTCCTCAATTTCTATCAGTTGCTCTTGGTCCGTTCGTAGGACTTTGTTGATTCCTGGTTGATCGTACTTTTTCATGACATGATGTATATCCCCGATCATATCCTTAACATCAGATCTGGCCTGAAACAGGCCTTCCTTGGTCCCTTCTATCATTACCTGTTTATTCTTAACATCTAGTTTTACAAAATGTTGTGAAAGATTTTCCTGAATGCCTTCCAACTGTTTTGAACAATGTTTTCCTATAAATTTCATAACCCCTTCATCCTCAATGTCCACAATATCTGTATAGATGGAATTCTCTTTAATGAAGTCTTCCAGCTTTGTTTTGACAAAGTCATGAAGATCACTAAATGCTGTGACCGTGATTTTGGCATCATTTGCCGGAGATATCATCACTTTTTCGTAAAACTCTGACTGCATCGTCATCACTTCATACTCCCATTTTTCAGTGGAAAGAACATTCAAAGAGGTTTCATCCAGGGCAATCACAGATTCTTTAGTCATGTCCAGGATTATCTTATTAGCTATGGATTTCTGACTACTGTCTATTGCGTACACTTTAATACTGCCATCTTGGAATTCCATCTCTACTGTAAGCCCCTTGCCTTCAAACTCTCTCTGTAGGTTAGATTGCCCTGGTTCAGCTCCTAGCATGAGAATTTGATATTTGGATAACTCTTGTTGTGAAATTGTCCACCTCTCAAACTGACTTAGCTTTTCCTCAATTTTGACTCTCGCCTCCAAAATGTCTTCCCTCACTCCCTTGAACAAGATTTTCTCATTTGGACAATCTGTATCTACATTCAAATCTTCTCTTATGTCATTCACCTCCGTGATAATTCCTAGTCTCTCTAGAAGTCTTATATTCGGAGCACAGCATTCTTTCTCTGTGGATATTATCTGTTTCTTCCTTTCAATCTTGCTTTCTATGGCTTTGTGCTGGTTACTGGTTTGAGTGTGCACTTCCTGGACCAACATTTTCTCTCCAACCATTACAATCCTCAGACTATCTTTTTCATAGACAGTCAGAATTCTCTCAGGGTTATGTGTATGTGTGACAGTCAAGTATTCTTCCACTTCGTTCCAAGCATCTTCTGTCACTTCAATCTCGGTCTTATGAATGCTTTCACGAACATAATCTTCAAAAATTTCTTTTACATCTGTTTTCCAAGACTTGATGAGCTGACGTACATTTTGCGTTTTCTGATTCAGCAGACAATCCACCTGAATTTCCTCTGTTTCGATAATGACCTTGGCGTGTTTCTTCTCTAGCTCAGAATTGAGCCGTTCTAACACTGGGTTTGATTGCTGTAGAAATTTTTGTACATGAGAGTCTATATCGTCAATGGTGAATGCCTCTGGTATTGGCACTGTGTGTTTGGAGGAATCGTAAATCTCTCCTTGATCCGTGAAAAACATGGGAGTAACCACAAGGGGTGTGTTTGATACTTCATGGTCCGACTTTTTACAAACATTTAAGGCATCTGAGAAATAATGTGATAGAATCTTAATTCTAAGGATCAGTTAAAACTGTCATGATGATACTTTCTTTCAAAATGAGTTAAAGTGAAGTTTCAGTGCCAGAAAATCAAAGAACATTTTTGTGGATCTAAGTTTTATCATGATGTGACAAATTTGATACAAATTTGGTACAAAAATGTACAGAACATATCAATTGCTTTTATCTGCTTTGTCAAAATTAATGAAAACAACCAATATTTGAAACAACCTTTGCTTGCAATTTGCCACAGCTTTGAAACCCATCTTTAACTCTTAATACTTTTTTTTTATTGGGATTAATTATCTAAGTACCTAAACAATTTCTAAAATTATTGCTTTGTGGCAAGGAATATTTAAAACAAGTTTCAAGAAATACAGATACAAATCTCACCTTCTTCGTGTTTGAATTTGACCGTGAAGCAGCCATCATTTCTACTTGTCACCCTCTGAACCTCTCCACCTCCACTCCGTGATTTGTTCTGAAAGTATTGCTTCAGATTTCCATCAGTCACTTCCCCTTCTGCTGACACCACAATAAGCTTCACTGGATCTATGGCACTGATTTCAATATTTTTCCCCTCTAACTTTTTCTTCTTGCTTGCTTCATTCAATTTTTCAGCATCTGTCATTGAAAAATAGTACCAATTTCCTACTTAGAGATAATTCTTTAGGTTTGCATAAAAGTTACAAAATCAACATTGAAAATATAACAAGATGCTCAAAGTATGTAATGGTTGCAAGAGCATGACAAACACTCTCTACATTCAGGTCAATAGCTCAGGTATGATGCCCAGATCAGTTGGTTAACTTGAAGACTTAGGTAAAAAAAATCATACAAGACTCAAGGCAATAATTCTCCCAAACAAGTCAGGTCAAAGGGTCACACAAGATACTAAGACCAAAAGGTCAGCCAAGAGATTCAGGTCAATATATCAGCCAAAAGACTAAGGTCAATAGATCAGCCAAGTCCCAGGTCAATAGGTGAGCAGAGACTTGGTTTAACAGGTCAGCCAAAAGACTCAGGGCAATAGGTTAGCCAAGAGACAATTGTCGATAGGTCAGCCAAGAGACTCAGGTAAATAGGTCAGCCAAATTACACTCAGGTCAAAAGTCTACGGTTAATGAGTCAGCTAAGAAACCTAGATCAATGGGTCAGCCAGAAGATTAAGGTCAATATCTCAGCCAGAAGACTCAGGTCAATAGGTCAGCCAAGAGACTGAAGGCAATAAGTCAGCCAAGAGACTAAAGGCAATAGGTAAGCCATGTGACTCAGGTCAATAATTAGCCTGAGAGACTCAGTGATCCAAGTTACCAAAGAGACCCATGACACCTTAAATCATATTCATTCATCAAATTATACTTCTGGGGGGAAAAAGAAATCACTTACCAACAGGAGAATTAAATTGTACAATGGCAGTGGTCTTCCCTTCATTGTAGACCACACTCTCTACTTCCACATCCTCAGTAGCTCTGGCCTCAAGGAAGTTGGTCAGGGTCTCTTCATTGGTGTCAGGATGTAGGCCACTCACACATACAAATAGGTCCTCAGGAGTCTATAAAATAACAGTCACAATCTCATTTCAAAGTCCATATCTGGCATCTCATTGAATGTCAGATGCTGAAAATAACTAGAACTAAACATAATTGTAATAAGGTGTAATGCTTGACTAAAATTTGCACACACAAATATTGGTTCCAAAAAAATCTTTCTTTCCTACTAACACCTTTAACCTTAAAATTTAGATGCATGAAAGTATTTTTCCCCAAGTATATTATGATAGGGTCAGTTTATTTATACTTATGACGTACAAAACACCCTTCTATAAAGAAGCTACCGGGTATTATTCACTTCCAAAAGAAATGAAAGACCAGTTTCTTAAACAATAAAAAAAAATTTGATAAAAGCAAACTTGACATTAACCATATATTATGTTTAAAATTACAATTAATCAATGCACAGTATTTTATCCACTTTTACCTGTTCTTTTTGCTTTGGGGCAGGTTTAGGTTCAGTTTCTACATTTCCTGCATGTGACTTCTTGGCTGGTTTCTTATCTATTTTTCAAACAAAATTGTAAAAAATCAAAGTGAAATATGCAATATAATTAGAAAAGTAAAAGTTTCTAACACTTAAAAAAGCTTTGTTATTCGATCATGCATTTCTGGTTAAAAACTGGGGTTAAAATATTTTCAAAAATGGAGTTTAATTTGAAAAAAAAAAACTCTTATAGCATTGAACAGTTAGGTTCAATTTTTAGTCTTTTGTCTTTTGGTGCTTCCTCAGTGTAAATGTAAAATTTTAAATGCTGGAAATGCAAAAAAAAAAAGTTCAAGAAGATACATGGTCAACACAAAAAGATCACCTGAATTTTTTTTTCTAAAAAGCTCACTTTCATTGATGCGATGTATGGCTGAAATATAGCCATTTTGGCACAAAACATTAATCAATTAATTCATTGATGATTTTAGAAGCAATTCTTTGAGAATAATGAACATCATTACCTTTCTTCTTTGGTTCAGGCTTTGAGGGTTTGTGTTCAGGCTTAGTCTTGGACTGCGGGATTGGAGTTGTGTGACCTTGACCTTTGGGATCTGGAATTTCCTTGCCTTGACCTTGAGATGCTTCATTGGAGTCTCCTCCTGGAGTGGGACCACTGGCAGCCTTAGCGGATGGGGCTCCCTTGGGGTGTTGTTGTTGAGGTTGCTGTTGGTGTTGATACTGCTGTTGCTGTTGCATATAATAATACTGTTGCCAGTACATGAATTGTTGCAAGTAAGCAGGGTTCTGTAGTACTTCTGGTGGAAATCCCAAAGCACTGAGGTCAATGTCTTGGGTCTGTTGCCCAGACATATACGGATTACCATAACTTGGCATGCTTCCAGGCAATGAGGAATATGGAGTTGAATGGAATGGTGTATGTGGATAATCCATCTTTGGAGGGAGTGATTGATAAGCCTCAAAGTCACTGATTGGGGGTTTAGGGGGCAATGCCGGGGCCTGCCCTTCTACAATGGTGTTGCTCTGTTGCACCGTAGCAGGTTGCTCTGGTAATGTGGGATGTGTAGCAACATTGGACTGGTTTGTGTTGCCTGATGTAGCACGCATACTGTTGTATTCATCACTACTAAAATGAGCAGATTCAGGTGTTAGGGGCATACTACGAAAGCTCTTAGGAGGGATGGGTGGGGGAGCATCTCGCCTGTATGACCTCTCAGGAACTGGAGGGGCAGATTCTAGCCCTGGGTTGAAATTCTCGTAAACAGTTCTGTCTTTTGGTGCTTCCTCTTTTTTCTCTGGTTCATTGGATCCATCTCCTTGAGCTTTGTTATCAGGACCCCAGTTCTGATACACTGTCCTGTCCGTTACCGTTTTTCCTGTAGGAGTAGCTTCCCTTGACTTAGGTGGCGCTGTTGGAGGTACTTGAACAGGGACCTCCTGTAGATTAGAGTGGGGAGGCTGATTAGTTGAGGAGGGTGCTGGAGAAAATGTTGGGGGACTCCATACTGCATCCTCTGGGCTACTTGGACTTCCACTGCCCTCTGAATTTTGACTTGGGGTTTGGTCTGTAATTGTGAGCTTCTTTGGTGGTTCTGGGGAAGCTGTCAAAAAATTAATATAAAAAAAAAGTAACCTAACTTTTCTTTATAAAACTTTTATTCACAATTTGTTTATCTGAAGTCCACAATAAATATTCAATAAATACACCATTGAATATATGGTTCTTAGCCAGAAATATTCATGAATTAAAGGAGGCACAACTTGCAGCTGTTTTTCATGAATAAATGTTGGTTCAGAGTATTCTATACTAATGGGAAAACTTTCAAGCCCCGATTTTTGGAGGGAAATAAATTAAGCTTAATTTTAAGATGGCCATACCTTCCACATGCTGATGGGCATCTTCAAACTTTTCACTTTCACTATCATCAGAGGACAGATTTCCTCGGTTTTCCTTCTGGGGTTCACTTTCCTTATCTTCTTCCTCATCTTCTACAGAACTAGTGTCATCAGTAAAATACCGACCAGAGGGGTTTTCCGATGTCATGGGGTCAGTTTCCTTATTGTCGCCCTCATCTTCTGCTGAGCTTGTGTCACCGGTAATCAGAAATTGACCAGCCACGGGTTCTGGTTTTTCGTGGTCCACTGATGTTCCCTCATCCGAGTCCTGTACAAGATTTTATTTCAAAAATTATTTTCTATGTTATATCTGAATTGTTTAACTAAAAAACCTCTAGATCTAGAATTTTAACAAGAGGCCCAGGGGCCACAGCGCTCACCTGAGCACATCGGGCTTGAATTTATCCCCCCCCCCCTCCAGGCGTTCATCATTTGAACAAATTAGAATCTACACTACCTGAGGATGATTCCATATAAATATCGCTAATCATAGCTTTGAAGTACTTGAAAAGAAGATTTTAAAAGGTTTCCCTATATATCCCTATGCAAAACTTGGGTTGGCCATTTTGGCCCCACCCTAGCCCCGGGGGTCATGATTTGAACAAACTTGAATTTACACTACCTGAGGATGATTCCACATGAGTTTCATCTTTCCTGGCCCAGTGGTTCTCGAGAAGAAGATTTTTAAAGACTTTCCTAATATATTCCTATGTAAAACAAGGGTCGGCCATTTTGGCCCCACCCTTGCCCCGGGGGTCATGATTTGAACAAACTTGAATCTGCACTACCTGAGGATGCTTCCACATGAGTTTCATCTTTCCTGGCCCAGTGGTTCTCAAGAAGAAGATTTTTAAAGATTTTTCCTATATATTCCTATGTAAAACTTGGGTCGGCCATTTTGGCCCCACCCTAGCCCCGGGGGTCATGATTTGAACAAACTTGAATCTACACTACCTGAGGATGCTTCCACATGAGTTTCATCTTTCCTGGCCAAGTGGTTCTCGAGAAGAAGATTTATAAAGATTTTTCTAATATATTCCTATGTAAAACAAGGGTCGGCCATTTTGGCCCCACCCTTGCCCCGGGGGTCATGATTTGAACAAACTTGAATCTACACTACATGAGGATGATTCCACATGAGTTTCATCTTTCCTGGCCCAGTTGTTCTCGAGAAAAAGATTTTTAAAGATTTTTCCTATATATTCCTATGTAAAACAAGGGTCGGCCATTTTGGCCCCACCCTTGCCCCGGGGGTCATGATTTGAACAAACTTGAATCTGCACTACCTGAGGATGATTCCACATGAGTTTCATCTTTCCTGGCCCAGTGGTTCTGGAGAAGAAGATTTTTAAAGATTTTTCCTATATACATGTATTCCTATGTAAAACTTGGGTCGGCCATTTTGGCCCCACCCTTGCCCCGGGGGTCATGATTTGAACAAACTTGAATCTGCACTACCTGAGGATGCTTCCACATGAGTTTCATCTTTCCTGGCCCAGTGGTTCTCGAGAAGAAGATTTTAAAAGTTTTTTCCTATATATTCCTATGTAAAACAAGGGTCGGCCATTTTGGCCCCACCCTTGCCCCGGGGGTCATGATTTGAACAAACTTGAATCTGCACTACCTGAGGATGATTCCACATGAGTTTCATCTTTCCTGGCACAGTGGTTCTGGAGAAGAAGATTTTTAAAGATTTTTCCTATATATTCCTATGCAAAACTTGGGTCGGCCATTTTGGCCCCACCCTTGCCCCGGGGGTCATGATTTGAACAAATTTGAATCTACACTACCTGAGGATGCTTCCACATGAGTTTCATCTTTCCTGGCCCAGCGGTTCTGGAGAAGAAGATTTTTTAAAAATGCCATTAATTTTTAACAAATTCATGATTATCTCCGCTTGGAAAAGGGCGTGGCCTTCATTTGAACAAACTTGAATCCCCTTCACCCAAGGATACTCTGTGCCAAGTTTGGTTGAAATTGGCCCAGTGGTTTTTGAGGAGAAGATGAAAATGTGAAAAGTTTACAACGACGACAACAACAACGACGACGACAACGACGGACAAATTTTGATCAGAAAAGCTCACTTGAGCCTACGGCTCAGGTGAGCTAAAAATGATTTTGCCTTCTGACTATATATTTTTAATAATTTTTATCATTATTTTAAAGCTATATATGGCATATCTGAGCTAAAAAATAAAAATACGAGATTAAGCCTAGATTTACAAGAGTTTTGTTATTTATGTTCAAATTCAAATTTTCACCTATTTTGAACTTAAATATAACCACGTTATATTAGTTCCGAGTCAGAAATAAATCGGTTATTGTTTTAAATCTGTGATATCTATGAAATGTGATTGATTTAAATTGGGTAATTTACAGGAAAGTCCTATCTTTATATAAAGTAACAAAACAAATAGAAGGATCTTTTTAATTTTAGTTAGTCTGAACTTATCAAAAATACACCATATATCACTTTAACTTAAATCAAAATAAAGAACTTACTAGTATTCCAGCCAAAACAATAATTTTTTTTATTAATTAACAAATTTTGTCAAATTTTCCAGTTATCATAAACTGAAACTTTTCCCTTTCTGTTACACCACTTTAAAAAGAATTTACAAATTAACACTGAGTAAATATGATAAATATTTTGTATATATTTCTAAAATGAAAGTAAACAAGAGGCCCATGGGCCACATTGCTCACCTGAGTAAGTTAGGTAATATAAATTTCCCCTCTTCCTATTACCCCCTCCCCTTACATGATTTTAATATTTTAGAATCTACACTACCCAAAGATGCTTCCACATAAGTTTCAGCTTTCCTGACCCAGTGGTTCTTGAGAAGAAGATTTTAAAAGATTTGTTCTATATATTTCTATGTAAAATTTGCATTCCCTATTTTATTTAACAATTTAATATTCACAACCCAAGGATGCTTCCACATAAAACTTTCCTGGCCCAGTGGTTCTTGAAAGAAGATTTTTAAAGATTTGTTCTATATATTTCTAGTAAAACTTGCATAATCACCCCGCCCTACCCCCGGGGGTCATATTTTGTATATATTTCTAAACTACACAAGGATGCTTTAAATAAAGCCCAGTGGTTCTTGAGAAGAAGATAAAAAAGATTTGTTCTATATATTCACATGATTTTAACAATTTAATATCTACACTACCCAAGGCTGCTTTTTGATTATCTCCCCTTGGAAAAAAAATAACAAAAAGCTTTGTAGCATGGCATCGAAAATATACAGATGGACGGACGGACGGACAGACGGACGACAGACAAAATGTGATCAGAAAAGCTCACTTGAGCCTTCGGCTCAGGTGAGCTAAAAATTATTGGTTGTATAAAGCCCAAGTTAGAAAAAAAGACAAATTCACTTTTCAATTTGACAAAAATAAAAGCTAGCTGGCATAATATACTTGTACATACTCAAGATTTAAATAGCCAATGATGAGTTCTATATATTGAACTAGAATTAAAATGAAAGTACATGTAGATGGATATTACATTACGAGTAATGCTTTGAATTCAGATCCTGCATAAGTATCAGTGCAAAATGAAAATACATGTGCCGGTATACATAAATCCTCAAGCTGTCCCTATTATAGTATGAATAAGAAAGCACAACACACTATATGATTGCATACAATTCAGGCTAAAGAGATAATATTGATTAAGTATTCAAACTGCAGACAGCTCAGCTTTTTAAGTAATAACTTAAGAAGTACAGGCACCCAAAAGCACTCTAGAAAAACTAAAGTTCACAATGAATACCTGACCAGGGGCTGCAGATTGTGAAGGCATGCAAGGCGTTTCCGATGACAACTCGGGGGGTGATTTAGAGGGACCAACTTCTGGGGGAGCCTGTGTCATGCTTTCTAATGCCTTAATTCTGTCTCTTACCGACATATTTTGTGATGGTTTTTCTTCCTCACTGTCTGACATACTCTACTTCTGCATGCAAACAGGCTCAAGAGTGGAGTGGATCTAATTTTAATAAAAATTATATTCAAATCAATCAATGGTTTACTACAAAGTGCATGCAGGTTTACCATTTCTATATCGAAATAAGTGAAAAAAATATTCACATAAAAAGTCTTTCCTTTTTTACATATATATAGGCCTAGGCCTACATGTAAATATTATACACACTCATGACAAATACTGATCATAAAGAAACTACATTTTAGGGCTTACCTGTATTGTCATAATATGAACAATTGAAAAATCCGTCCCTCTTATTTGAAACAGGTCATTAATAAGAAAATATAATTATTATTTGGGTAACTTTCTTTTCTACTTATCAGGGTAAGTCAGCTGATCATTTTACTTCCATGTACCCTTGTCCACCTTTTCCGCGAAATCAAAACGAAAGTAGAAATATTTTGATGACAAAACCTTCGAAACTACTTAAAATTCACCCTTTCCTCGTCATCAGTTCGTCATTTTACATCACTTATATAACTAGTCTTACAAAAAAAAAATCACTAATTTACGAACGTTTAGTTTGTTTGTTTGTTGTTTTTTTTTACAAAATACCTTTTTTCAAGTTCTGTCCAACTTTCAATGAGCACTGTGTTTGTAAACACAATCGCCTGTTCATGCAACGATCTCTCATCAAACAACCCTTTCCTTTAGTATCTTACAGTGAAAATCACATAATTCGTCTGACAATTAGATTTAGCGTTGTTGTACTTTCGAAAACTTTAGGAAAATCCAAACATGCGTATATTTTGAGCATGCGTATTTTCCACTTTCGATTGCAAGTGACAAATGGCGGGAAACTTGTCGAAGTAGTTGAACTCCGTCTACGTGTTTATTACTTTGTACTATGCAAGAAGATACGAACAATATAGCTGTTTTACAGCTCATAAGTGCTCACAATCTTTAAAAAGATTTTAAACAAATTATAAACCAAAGAACTTGTTAATATGTATACACTGTATATATTTTGTATATTAATATTGTACGTATATATAAAAGCTACGTTTGTATATTTCTGTGTACCAGTATTTACATGTTACAATAACTAAGAGTTATTGTTGTGTATATTCTTCAATATTATTTAAAAAATAAATCAATGATCATTCTTTTTTTTCATAATATTTTGTATCTTACCTTAAAGTTTAGCACATGTATTTTATATACAGTATTAAACATACCAATCTCTAAATCTCAACAAAAACGAAATATGATACATGTATCAGATATCAAAACACGGGTATGATAAACTAGGAACTCACTCATGTGTTTTTAACAGTTTAATATGTTTTTGTGTTAATAATGAATATTCTCAGAGAGTGGTTATGGTAAGGGATGAGGATGTTGTACCATCCATTCATCAGCCCTGGTTTTGTTTTGTGTACATTTAAATCGCTTGATCTTTAATCAATAGAATTGGAGGGTGTGCAAGTGTTTCAGTGAAAGTTTCAACAGCTTTTAAGCTGTTGAGGTCCAATCGTACATGTATGAATGATGAAAAACGTAACGGTTATATCAATTCGCATAAAATGATTTGGTTAACTGTAAACAAAATTAATGAATAATGTATTCTTGAGTTGTGAAAAGTTAAATTTGATTCATGAATTATATTTTACCGTTAAATAAATTATGCATGTATAGGCAACTTTGTCTATGATTTTACTGGACAACCTACGTAGTGCAGCATAGGCGTCGGAACCGGGGGGGGGGGGGGGGGGTTAACCCCCCCCCCCCCCACTTTTTTTTTGCAAATATATACATATCATGGGCACTGAAAATTAGGCTTTTTTTTGGTTTAGCCCCCCCCCCCACTTTCAATTTGCTTCCGATGCCTATGTGCAGAATTTTGAAGAAGAGCACCACAAAGCGGAGCATCCCCTCGCAAAGAGCAAATCTATAAATCAGGACAGCATTTTAATCAATCCCGATGCAAACTACGTCACTTGTGTTTCGCACAAAGGACAGATTAACCCCACCCACCCACACATACACTGTACGCACTTGTGGATGTCACTTTAATATCAAGCACTCCTACTTATGTTAGCGACAAGGACTTATAAAGACGGTGCCTTCTATATACCTTTTCCATTTGTGGTGATCATTTTCAAATACAGTCAAACATCGATATCTCGAACTTGATATAACCGAGAAAAATATCCAAGGATTCGAGATATCGATATTAATTATTTACAGTGGTTGAGAATCTCAAAATCACTTTGGCATACCCATGGTATTTCAAGATATCAGTGTTCGAGATATCAAAATTGAACTGTACAATGTATTTTCAAATCAAGGCTCTTGTGTATGCAAGCAAGAAAATAAAACTATGCAACATGTATACGTGTATAGGTAACAATTTGCGGTTGTGTTAGGACCTATATTTAAATTTATAAGTACCTTTGATATTGCACAAACTTATCTTAATATCGGCCAATAAAACATCAAAACAACATGTATCACTTTTATTGCATATTTATACCTGTATGCGTGTAAGGCTACGTTGTGAATAATAATTGGCTAAAGATATGCAAAAATTGCTTTTAAAATTTTCAGCACATTTCACATAATTTACATCATTAATTCATTTCAATTAATATATGTATATATACAAGCAACAGCTTTTCAAAAAGCTTGCCTGACTAATGCCATCAATATCTACAGAACCTATAAGCATGATAAGTTATAAACGTTTACATTGGGGGGAGGGGGGGTTAAATTTAAATTATGAAGATGTGCACAAAACATCATGCATTCATTAGCCGGGCTTATTGCTCAAAGAGCAATTGCCGGCTTATGTGATCCTGTTCAAGGCAGGATGTTGACCCCATAGTCGCCATTTTAAAGTTACGTGCAAAAATATAGTTCTTACTCTCAACCGCTTTTGAGATAATACAAACGCTAAATAAAGCAACAAAAATAAAACGAAGTTTTATCTATATAAAATAAACATTAGTATAATGACTTTGAAAACTTCATAAGTCAAAGAACATAGTTCATTAGCGTAAGGATTTTTGATAATCAGTGTTACCGTAGTTCTCTACATGCACATACGAGGTAAAACAGGAGAGGGAACCAGACTGACCTGTTTGTTTACATTCAGCTGCGGTACCAGATTAATTCTGATTCTGACAAAATCGGACCGTGGACGTGGTATTAGGATTGAAAAACTCACTGTCAGTGTCTTATCATTTATATTGATAGTTTTAAAATAATTTTTTCATCAAAATATAAACATGATTCATGAAATCCATTCTACTCTGTAAATGAGCCCGGCTCTCTGTACTTCTGAGTACTTTGATTTTAAGTTGTATGATACTCATCGGGGCAATGGAAAAAGAACACATTTTATATAAAACGTATATATTGTTTGAATCTCAAATAAAAAATAAAATCACGTACTTTACATGTCCCGCTGTAGATTCGAACCCGCGACGTAAAGACCTGATGAATACCTCCGCGAGTCTAAAAATGGCTTCAGAGGATCAAGTAAATTAATATATATATATATATATATAGAAAGCACCAAGAAATTCACTTTAACATGGATACCCACTTCCGCCCCAGCCCGGGGTTGAACTGTCGACCTTCGGAATCTGTCTCCTAGCAGTGTAGGAACAGCGCGCTAGACCGCTCGGCTATCTAGGCAAGTCAAAAAACTTGCTTTCGATGCCGATGGAATTCTCGCAGCGCTGCCCTACACTACACGATCAATGAGAATAGAAGTGAGATACAGTTATTTGGACATAGTTTTAACAGAGGATTGTTACCAATACATGTAATGAAATTAATTATTATTTAAACTAACATATATAACTATATAACTATATAACTATATATATATATATATATATATATATATATATATATATATATATATATATATATATATATATATATATATATATATATATATATATATATATATATATATATATATATATGTTTTCAGACTATACTGGAAAAGCCTTGTCTTGATGAATACATAAAATTATGTGAAGTATGGAAAAATCACATTATACCATCACATAGTGATCGAATGGACCTTATGATAAATTCACGTAATGACAAATGCATACTGCATAATGACCACAAAAAAAAAATCATACAGTGCTAAAAGTATAATATTATCATAAATTTATTTTTGCTATGAGAAGACACTTCATGCATAAATTCATACATGTATTCGAGACTATACCCATTCAATTCATACCCACTTGCTAATTCATTAAAAAGTTTTATAGAAGCATTAAAATTAAAATTCTGGACGTCCAATTTTCATAACGGGGGACGGCTGTGGTGTTATTCAAACTAAATAAGCATTTTTAGAGTATTGCATTAGCAATAGTCATTATACTAATTATACTATAATTAATGTAAGTCTCCAACCGGTAAGACATTAGTGTAATATGGTTTCCATCAATTAGCCAATTATCAAGATACAGTCACCAAAAATCAGCTCAATGTCTGAAAAAAAAACCACGGATAACCATATGGAACATACGGACAGACAGACGAGGATGAAATCTAAATTCCCCCCATCCGGTTTCACCGGTAGGAGACAAATAACGCCTGTTTTGGGAGGATATGAAAGTTTGTCTACAGAGCCGCCTGTGCTATGACACATTGAACGTCCAAAATTTTACGATTCAGACTTTATATATTATGCATTTATTAATTTCTTTTACATGTACATGTATGTGTAATGCCTGTATCAATAAATAATACACAAACAACTTGCGCTGTTTATATCTGCCCTAAAAATTCTGCCTAAAACAGTAGTTTATCTATCTAAATATTGTACTGGAATAATGCCCACAATTTAAGAATCATCAACGTATTAATATTAAAGTAGATATCCTTCACTTATTATATATAGTCTCCATTATTGTTCATTGTGCACTCTTTTTAGCGTTCCTATCTGAAATCGAAAAAGAAAATATAGAATATTAAGATGTTATTAAAAGTTATTGAAAATATTACAAGAAATAAGAATAAAGCATGGCACGAACCTTTCTCAGTATAACAGAAAAACCCAGCGACTCCAAAGCATAAATAAAAGAATCCAGCGAACTCTCGTCCTTTCTCTCAAGTAAGGTTAACAGTCGTGTCGCTTGCTCTCCCCTTTTATCCAAAAGCATAATATCTTTATACTCCTGGTCAGAAAGAGCTCCTTCTTCTAACAATATATCTGTCAATTCCATGGGTTCAAGTTCAGATATCAACAAATTGCGATTTTCCTGAATTGCGGATAACTCCACCTTGTGTTTTGTTTTTGGGTGCCCTACAAACAATATTAGCAAGTATTAGATAAATAATAAATAAATGTTTTATTTATCTATCAGGTACTTACATGTACACGTTTTTCCTTCTAAGTCTTTGTTCAAGTACAGTGTACTTTTTTCCCTTTTTTTCAAAGCAACGGAAACGTTTTACTGCTCTTGGCATTACTTACATGTAGTATGTACATGCATAAAATTGTGAGAAAATGTAATTAAACTGTTTAAAACCTTGGAAACAAATCTTACGTATATCTTCCATGGAAAGACACCTATCGCACATTTTCCTTATGACCATGATACCAACATATGGTTTCATGGACATTACTAATTTTGAGCAGTTTTCATTTCCACTGAGAAGAACATCTGCAAGAAATATAAGTCTGGCCTTTTTGTCCATTTTGTACACATTTTCTTTAAAGATTCCTTTTACAAGTTGATGGAACTCTTCTTTACTTAAAGCAGCTACATGACTGGAGATTTGGCTGAAGTTTTTCCTCAATACTTTGGATCCATAGACTGTAAAACAAAGTAAGTGTTTTAAAAATAAAAAAAAATAAACGTTACAATGCATTGTGACTTTTTGGGGTTATGGATATAGATAAAAATATTTGCCTTTTAATCTGTTCTTCCAAATCTTGAAAATTTCATTGACTGGAATTTGGTGAGATTTTTGCACTGGACAAAGGTAGCAGGACATGTCTTCAGCTCCGAGAATGTCGGTTTCTTCTATAAATGAAGTGTCTCCACTTCCAAATGAGTCTATTTTACATTTGTATCCAACAGTATAGGATGCGCTGTACGTAAACGTTGTGGCAAGTCTCTGTAGGTTTTGTTCTATATGGTGCCTGATGTATGTTGTGACATCAAAGTCCATATTTTGATCATCTTCCTTGAAAAGAATCTGGACTTGTATTATATTGTTATGTACTCCTACAAGGACTTTTTGATTTTCATACGCAAAAAGACAAACGTTTCTGTAAATGCACTTTCCTTGTTTGCCCTCTTCGTCGCATAATATTTTCCATCCTTTTGATCCAAGGCAAGCAGCAATTAAACGATGAAAGTAAAAATTAGATAAAAAGTCAAACTTGAAACAAAGTGTTGGAGTACACCTATAATCCTTGATCACTTCCGGATCGAAGACTTTTCTGTTTGCACATGGAATAAAGTGCCAAAACTTTGATTTGCTATCTCCTGGTGATATCTTAGCTATAAGTCCGAGCCTCTCCATATATAAAAGTATTGTGTTTTTGTAATCTAAGCAATCCTCGGCTTTATGTCTCCAAATTTCCTCTAACAGATCATCACCCATTTCACCAGTTTCGTAGAAGATTTCCCATTCTCTAACATATGTATACTCGGTTCCCGTTTGCTTTTTATCCATTATGATGTGTTTGAATGCGTTTACGAACCATTGGGTATCAAGTATTACATAGTCCCGCAGACCTGCAGCATTGAAATACAAAATGATTCCGATTTCGTGGAAAAATCTCAGCATATCTTGAAATTCTTGTTCACACATTTTCATTTCTTCAGGCAATCCGTCGTTGATCTGTTTTAATAATTTTGTTTCTATTATCTTCGACTTCGAAAATTTGTTTTTCAGCTCATATTCAAACAAAACCCAAGATGATGGCACTAATTCGCCCCAATGGTTTTGCTTTTGAACAAGCTGACTAATACAATCTTTTATTTCATCCGTTTCTGCCCTATACATGCTATAATCAGATGAAAATTTTGTTGGAAGTCCTATTGTAAATTGTCTTCTTGGATCCAAATGCTCCTTCATCTTTATTCCTTTTTCATCGAGTTTCCATATCCTTTTAAAGAAGTCCTCTTTTTCCTAAAAATATACATTTCCTTATTTTATTTATATATTTATTTATTTATTTATTTATTGTAATTAAGAGTTTAAGCCCGAATCTTCTTCTGATACTTTTGCCTCGTTCCAATTAAAAACTAACGAGTAAAATAAATGTTTTGTTACGGTCATTAATAAAATATCTTTATTTATGAAGCTTAAATTAAACAAAATGTAAACCCATAAATATGATAAACAAAATAAAGCAGGATGCTTCACATTCTATTATATAATAAACCTTTGTACTTTTAATTCGACATATACTACATGTAGCATTATTCAAAAAAGTTCCAAATGAATTTCTAAAGTTCATGAGATAGACGTCACGCTATCTTCTTGTTGGGAAAAGAGGAATTGAGAACCTGCGTAAATGTTCATAACGTAATACATTGTATATAATTAAATTTCATCTTGTTTGCCAATACCAGTATTCAAGCTCAAAAGTCCATTCCAACAAAATAAACAAGGAGCAGAGCAAACACAGACACCTAAAACATTCGAGATGGGATCAGTTGCTAGGGAGGAGCTAGTGTGCGTCCCCTGTCGACTATTCACACTCGCTTTGTACTCCTAGTCATGATCGAATAAAAACAGGAAAATTCGTAGCCAAATGCAGCATGTAAATAATGACCTAAGAGTTACTAGGTACTGTACATGTACTATGAAAAACATCCACTTATATTCGACTTTATCAGCGTATTATTTCTAATTGGTCGTTAGATTAGATCATAAGATTTCTCTTGGATGGTAAGGAAGGGCTAAGCATACATCAAGGGGTCCTGAGTCAACACGTTCCCCATAGTCTAACGGCAACGTGTGGACTCAGGACCCCTGGCTTGCGAGGATGACTGACATACTGCCAATACTAGTAAGTAAGCAAAATGTTTGAAAATGTTTTTGTTCAAATAAATTTGCTGCTTTTGAGTAGAGATATCTCGGTTTTATGAAAAGTTTGAATAGAAAAAGTATCTCTAGTATATATGCAGATACGCAGGCAACCTATGCAGCATAACAGAGTGATAATGAACACATGTACCTGTTGACTCTTATTCTCCGCGTGTGTGGCAACAAGAATTACTGGAACAGGTAGTCGGGGGTTACTGTATGTATGCAACGACTTCATCCAAAACACAAAATAATCTGAAAACGAAATTTAAAAAAAAATATCAGTAATTAAAATAAAATATTGAAATAAAATTCACATGTCCTCATTATATTAATCGCAATATCATAATTATTTCTTCTAATTTATTAAAATTACTAGATATTAAAATTTACCCAATGTTCTTGAACATCTTTTCACGAAAATAAAATTAATTTTATATTTATTTAATATTTCTCTCATAATAATACTAAGAACAACTACGTCTCATGAGAGAAAGATAACGGTGTGAATTTCCAAATGGAAGTACCTTCGTAAGTCCAATTTTCAAACATTGTACCCTCCTGATCATTAACCTTTTCATCTACAGGTTCTTGAAGATCTTTAGACATGTCTACGACAAGAAGATAAAATGCCCTTGGACTAAGGTAGATCTGATGGCAGGCGTAATAAACACACTGTCCAGCAAAATCAAGGAAAGTAACAAGCTTTTTTGGATGAAAAGACGCAGAATGCAGCATTTTTGCAATGAAAGTGCTTTCGTTTACATCCATCTCCTTCGTGTTCTTTGATTCACTAAGGACAGTTTCCATATTTTCTGTAAAGGGAATTGTTTCAGCTGCTACAGTGGATGGCTGGTTATTTACATGACTAATTCTTGGTAAGCCTTGGGAAGAATGATCGTCCGTTTCTTTCTTTTTTGGAGGGAGTGAATGTTTTTCATTTGGTTTTATTTCTTCTGGTATTTGAGACGAATTATCATCACTTGCGTCACTTTCATCATCACTTGCAATTGATTCTTCTGCCATGGTTTCATCAACTGAGGTCTGATGCATGTATGATACGTTGTCCTCGGGGCATACATGAAAGTATGTGTCAACTTTTTGCTTGTTAACTAGAAAAAACAAGTGATTATAGACCGTGTTTAATTTTGAAAAGTATATTACTAATGGCAATAGCTCTTAGATTACAAATTTTTCAGAAAACATTTATTATCTGCATTGATACCTGACAACTCATTATGAAAACGAGGTAATAAAATCTGTTATGAAAAAAATTTAAAATTCTTTTAACTAAATATAAAAAAAGTTTTATGAAAGTTTAAAACATTTTAGTAAGTCAAATAAGATAAGATATGGTTTTCTTTCCCGTATCAATACATTAACGGATTTCGAAACATTCATTACATGAAAAATGATGATTTTGATCTCAACGTGGTGGTTGTATCTTATTTGATTGATTTTATTCATTTGAAGAAAAGAGACGATTTTGGCCTTTTTAAAGTGGTATGGCACCATTCAAACTGACTGAAACCAAATACAATGTCTACAATATTCTTAGCAGGGTGACAAAAAAAGAATAGGAAAATTTGTCATATTTTGTTTGTTGTTTAACGTCTCTCTCGATAATTTTTCATTCATGTGAAGAATCCACCGTTTGCCGGTGGGCAGCTGCGAAATTTTAGCAACTGAGCAGTGAGAGATCTTTTTGTGCCAATACAACTGCGACATGGGACTTATACGGCCTCATCAGGAGGACCGATCACCACATCCCGCAATAACGATGAACTCCATAATCTAGAAATTGGGCTCTAAAGCAAACCACCACGTCAAGCTGTCGACAATTGAAAGTTACTTTAAACTTTAAAATAGTACTCATGAAACCTGTCAATTCATTATCCTCTAAAACAAATACATCTCTGTGAACGTCCACTCCTATTGTTGTTTTGGTTTCTTTTTTAACTTTTTTGCGCCCCTTATTTTGTAATCGATTTAATAATGTAGTTTTTCCAGCACCAGCACAGCCAACAATCATTCCTCTTGCATGGAAAATCCTTTCCTTTCCTTTCTTCAGATAATCAATATAACGTCGAATTTTTCTTTCTCCTCCTTCTAATATTTCTCCTGGAATGTTTACTGAAAAATGCATGTAAATTGAAAATGTTAAAATGAATATTTTAAATCCTTAAATAAACATAGGATGCATATATTGAAAATCAGAATAATATTAAACATAATATTTAAAAATCTTACACGTCCTAGAAACAAAATTATGTATATTAGGATCATTAATGGTGGGGCTGTTGAATATATCATCCATCAACTTGCAAATCATTTTTTCTGTGAGGTCCCATGGTAACAAAACGCATCTCTCATCTGCATTTCTGTTGTACGTGTTGGATCTACAATATTTCTTTATCACATCGTTTGAAAAGTTTAGAATGCAAAACTCTAAGGAGTTGTACATTTCTAAATGTCTCTTCTCGGCAGATTTGAAAAAAGTTCGAAAAACTTCAGATTCTGCATCGGTAGAGGCAAAACCAATCGTGTCTGCGTGACTGTCCAAAATAATGAATTTTTTCCATTTGTTCTTTCTTAACTCATTCAAAACATCTTCCTTTGTTTTGTTTAGTGCAGATTCCAACTGTAAATGATTTCGAATTAGGTTCAACTTCGTATTCCATTCCTCCGAGGCTAGATCGGTTTGTTTCAATGGCTGGTTATACAACAGCATACAGAGTAAGTATGTTGCAATTTCTTCTGTTGCGCCATCAAGATCCCCTAGAATTGCCAAAAATTATTTTCGTTTTGAAAAGTAAGTAAAATAATAATTGCTTAATTATAAGTTGTTTAACGGACATAACTTTACTCCCTCAATTTTACATGTACAGTGTATATGATGCTTTGTTGATGTTTGGCCTACCTGTCAAGGGAGTTAACCAGTCTATGTTACTTCTGTCATCACTTCCAATCAAAGGAACATTTTCTTCTAGATCTTTTTCTGTAAGTGAAATATCCAGAGTAACGATCGACATTGCCCAGTGTGCCATACTTCATGATTTTAAAACCTATTCAAGTTTGCTTCATTCATGTGAGATCAAAAGTCATACGTCGAACCAAAAAATATCACCAAAACCTCTCTCACTTTGAGTGTGATTTACAAAGGCCCCTTTCCTTGTCTAATAGAATGTTCCTTCAGTAAAATTGCAATACTTTTCATATCTTTTCAATGCTTGATTACCATATTTATTACGTAAGGTCAAGAAATGTCTGCAACCATAAAACATGTGAAATATACAGAGTACATGTATTTGTTGATAATAACAATTATAGTAGTATTAGCTGTTTAGCATTTTAAGTTGTAACAAAGCTTAGGCCTATTATCCTTCTAAAGAGTTTTTTTTTAATCTTTTGAATAATAGAATTTTCCTATCTGGTTGCTTTCGTAGGTTAATCCTTGTTCCAGTGAACATGGCAATATCTATCATTTCATGATGCTCTGCTTTTCGCTGATATTAAAAATATTTTTAGTCATACTGGCGTAATTCTATCCCTGAAATGTACTTCTACATAGTCGGGTAAAAACTAAAAAGAATTTCAGATGATCTATATCAAATACGTATATATTATTATTTTTAAAGATATTTTTCAATGAGAGGATTTTTTGCTTCTGGAATAGAAGAAATAAGGATGCCTTTTGCCGAGTTTGGCCTCAACGATTAATAATTGCATATGATTTGAATACGACACAAAATAAATCTGAAAAGAGGACAGACATTGTGTTTTACTTTGATCGAAAAAGTCCAGTTTGCATCATAAAGAAATCGAAAGTTTCGACCATTTATTACCGGTAGCAATGTACAATATATTAAATAAAGTGTAGTAAATACTAGTTACCATTGTTTAATTTTTTCCACATATAAGAAAGTCAAAATTGCTACAAGCAGAATAAGACAGATTGCCAATGGAAGTACGAGGGCTATGACTGGGAAATTATTGGAAGGACCCACTGGGGATAAAGTTGTGTTGAAAGACGTTGATGAGTTGATTAATTGTTCCCTAGGGGTTGTTGTTGTCTGGATGGAACTTAAAAAAGAAGTTAAGTACGACATTATGCTTTCTCCTACTTATTAACCTTTTTCGAACAAATAAGACTTTACTCAAAATAAATTAATAATTTAAAAATTAATTATTATACATGAGACTTAAATAAAATTATAACCATTTTTTTATTTTTAGGTATTGACTACATATGGACTACAATTAGATTCATTATCAACTCTACATGTTGCAGTTCATAACTTTCGTTGTAAAGTTTTAGAAATCAGTGATAAAACTAGAGCCGAGCTCGTTGCAAAGCAACGAGTAGGTCTTCCGTCGGAGCTGCGGACAAGGAGGAATGACCTTGGGTCAAGGTCATGCCACATTCTACTGTTAAAGCAATCTTTTAAGGGTAGATGTCATCTTATTTATGTTTTACTATTAAAAAAGATAGTAAAGGAATGTTTGCGACCTTGACCTTGTTAAAATGACCTTACGTCACACCATGACACACGCTGGTGATAAGCAAAGCCATTTGTGTGCTACCGTATTGACGAATTCTTAAGCTATATTTTTTCGATAGGCTTTGTCACAGCTAATACGTGTATACATGTGTAAATCTAGGTATGAAAGTGTTATCCTTTCTTTATCATAAGTCATGGTCAATTTTAAGCAATGTTTAAAGCCGGTTAAACTTTAAGGTCAAAGTTCATTATATGCTAGTATTTGAAATGATTTTATCACAGGTCACATACATTTGATTTTTGTGTAATACGAAAACCCTATCTCTTCTCATTCAAAAGTTATGATCAAGATTAAAATTGTGAAAAGTAAGTCAAGCCTCAAGGTCACGTTGTCAAAATCAGCGTATCGGTATTTTAAAAAAATGTTGTTACAGGTAATACACAGTGGTAAAATAAAAGCCCTAATCGGTCTCTTTCCTCTCAAAAGGTATAACTATGGTTAATGTTTTTGAAAAGTGGGTCAAACTTCAAGGTCAAAGGGTCAAAAATCATAATGAATTTTCAAAGGCGTTGACACAGGTATTACATGTACATGTTTATAAAATGAAAGTTTTCAATAGTTATGGTCAATTTAAAGTATTGTTATTTTTTAAGTAGGCCAAGCTCCAAGATCAAGGTCACGGGGTTAAAAATCACAGTATATTTGAAAATTACATGTCACAAATAATGCACATGTGAAATATGAAAGTCCTATTTCAACTCATTCAATAGTTATTATCAAGTTTAAAGTTCTCGTGACAGATGGACACTGTCAGACTGGTTGACAAATAAGGTTTATTGTGTCCTAATAAAAATAAATACACGTTATTTAAACATGATGAATTGAGAAATACGAGGAATAAAAAACTAGAAAATATTAGAAAAATATTGCACTGAAGCTATATTCAAATCCGTGTTTTTCAACTGCTTGAATCTAAAAATATTATTTACCGTGTGTCTCTAACACATTCCTTAAACTTTTCTACAGTTAAACATTCCTTACAACCGTTTTTAATTGTCCTTCTGAGCCTGAACTTGAGATAATATGGATGGCACTGTAGCTCTCTGGTGATCCATCTCAATTTTTTTTAGAACAGCTAGCGAGCTACAGATCTGCAGCATGACAATTGTCATAAAGTTAACTTTACAAATTCATTTGATATGTAACAGAATTGAATTTTATGAAAAGAATTATTTCTAATGCTTATTTTTAACATATGCTAAAATTATTTACCTATCAAGTTAAGTTAAGACAGTAAAAAGGACATTGATACTCAGTATTTATCTAAGGAGTTAGTGTCAATCCTCAACCTCAAAGAGCGTTCGACTTGTATGATAATTGCGTATGTGTGATGAAACTGCCGTGAACTATCCCGGTCGTGAACATTAGATGTACTGGACATTCCGTCTTCAAGAAAATATAGTTCTAATTTGGACTATTCCGAGTTACCTAAACGTTTGTATGTATGTCCATGTGTGAGCATTTCAACCTGTCTTTGTTTTATGTGACTTGACTTGATTTATTTTTCAAAATACAAACAATATATTAACAATGTTTTATTTTGTAATATCGATATATTGGCAATATACATAGATTAAGGAATTTTGTCATTTATAAAAATACTTATAAAAGTTTGTTATTAAGCCAAACAATAAGTCAGAAGTTGTTTTGTGTAAAATTTCAGAGCATAACTTAAATGAAATCAACAAGATTTTTTTCCGTGTTGGTTACTTATCTAGTTGTGTACACTTGTAAATTAAAGTAAATATAGTAAGAAAATGCCATTTTTATTACATTGAAAATATTGCAATACATATCGCAATTTTTCAAAATACAAACTTTAACGTTTTATTGCTTGACTTTCGTTTTATAAATCACTTGTGTTACTGTCACCAATTATATTCTATTAACTTTATTTAATTGTCAGAAATGCAATGCAAAATTCAGGATATCAAATGCAGCGAAAACTGGTACCCCCCCCCCAAAAAAAACAAAAAAAACTAGTACATATAGTACATGCACACACTTCGATGCTCGATTGTACACTCTAGAAATTAAAAAGTTTATGAATAAAAAAGTTTAGTTAGGCATACTCATCTTTGCCGACCTTTTCTTAAATTTATTTGACAACCTGCGAATTAACAATATCGTGTATGATTTTTTGGTTAATATTATAATAGGTTATGGAGTAATCATGGATTTCATCACCAGCCCTGGCCTGCCATTCTCGACTCTGAAGGAAAGCATTGTATCATTTCAGGGGGGTTACGTATCGCAGTGAGAGGAAATTTAATAATTTAATCTCTTTTAGTCCAATAAACACGAAAGAAAGGCTTGGAATATTTGTATGAAATTACAGGAAGAAATTTTGCATTTGTTAGAAGAATTTCTAATTATTCTTTTTTTTTCTCGTATTCAAATCTTAAAGCTCATGTTTGGTGCTCTTCTGTGTAAAACAGCATGTAGTTTAGTTAATATTATGTACATGCACATAAAATCGTGTCATTGTGATATTCTAGCTTTTTATTTGAGGAAATCAAAGAAATTTATGAGCATATCATGCGGAAAAATACAATGATAAGTTATGTAGCAAATTATGCAAAACTCAAAGTTACTTAATTTTATTTTCGATTTTCATGAGAATTGAAAACGTCACTTCCACTTACAATTTACTGTGTGCATTTGTCATGTTTAATTGTAATTGCTACTTTTAACAACATCGCAATTTTTTCTGAAATAAATTAAGCAACAATTAGAATAACTTGATATAGGCCTATATACATATAACGATTGCAATTACTTCAAAGTTGAGAGGGAGACGACGGCGCCTAAAAAACATGAAAAATGTGTACCTTTCCAATATTATAGAATCATCCGTTCAAATTAAAAACAATTAAGTTGCAGTAGTGATATCCCCGATTCTTTAAATAACGAGACTATAATGGACTTCACAAGGGTAAAATTCAACATTAATTTATGTACATGTGCAATTACAATCTCTATCAAAATTGGCAGAGTTATCGATAGGTCATCCTGCGTCACCTTTCAGTGTAACCAATGGACTCGTCCAGAGAAATCATCTGTACCTGAGCAAAATCGCAGCGCCTTTTATTCATTCGTCAAAGAATAGAATCAGACTTTTTATCTTTTAATACTCGTATACATGTTCATGAAAACCTTTATATTTGTGTCTAGAAATATTCTTACGATTTACTCAAATAACAAATTCTTGATTTTAAACTGAGTAAATCGATGACTAGCATCGTTTTAGATAACTCTAGGACTCGCGTAAAAATCAAAGAGCGGTAATGTTGACCTCCGGAATGTATATAGGTCAATGCATGTGCGATCGATAAACAGGTTGCACAACTGTAAACAAAGCAGTCAAGGTCCGAGGAAAATTCACGATGCCTGAATAAAATGACTGTGAATTATTTTAAGCTTATTTTTTCTTTTATTTATAAATAATGCAACATTGAGTATCAATCGAATGAGAGATGATAAGTATTTTTCCTATCTCCCGTCTTGTAATTCAAACTAAATACAAGGAGAAAGTTGTCTCTGAATAATCTGTATGACATCCAGCTAGAGAATACGTTAAAAACTTTATTTCAACAAAGTTTAACATTCAGTTTAGTTAAGTATATATTTTTATCCAGTTTATTTCAGTTATACGTGTTATACGCGTACGCATAAAGAATTCTTCACTTGCCGTATAAAACTATTCAGTTACCTGTACATAAAGTTTGCTGCTCATTCAATAACACGAGATTCGAACAAAATAACGTTTTCATGAGATCATTAAGATGTTAAAGAACCCATTTCAAATCGATAACCATATCGAAATATTTACCGTTTTTGAGTTATAAAGCAAAAACTTTCGAGTGCCCTTGACCCCTAATTTGAGGGGCCAGCCCCTTTTTAATGATGTCAAAAGATAGATCTTAAAATTATGCACAATATTTGTGAAATATGTCTTAACAAATTATTTTTAGTTTAAAAGATATACAAGGAAATATATGTAAAATTTGGCGCTTTTGGGCATTCTCATTTTTGACCCCTATCTAGCACCGTTTGGAGCGCAGAAATCGAAAAAGAAAAACCGATAGGCACAACTTCAATTCTTCTAGTATTTAAATGCAGTAGACATTCTGCTCCAGCTTTTGTCGTTTCTGAGCCTTTGTCTGGAAACGAACAGTACCAAATTTTCACTTAAAGGGAAATAACTCAAAAGCGGAAGGGGATTTTTGAAATGTATGAAAACATTTTAATTGAGTTTTGTAACGTCCAAAAACTCTGAAAATTTGAGCGAAATCCGTTCAGAAATGAGCGAGTTACGAGGTCTCAAAGTTGGCGTCTAGGAAAAAAAAAGAATAATAGGGAATAATCTTAACCATCAGAATCAGTAGAAGGTCTTCCGCCTGAGCGGAAGACCTTAATAAAATGTTTGATCATTGTAATAGTACCAATTTCTTTAATTTTCTATTCTTGCTCATTTTTTACCTATTTTGGCAGAATGGTTCTACTCTGAAACACCTTTGTTCTGTATCTATGTCCAAGCATTTTGGATCTACGAAAAGGGTGAAAATATGATCTTGAAAAGAAACAGTAATTCTACCTGGATATTAATAGAGAATAGTGTAAATTAATTTTGACAGAAATCCGTTGTGTTGTTTTTCGCCTTCAATGAATAGATATATCCTCTATTATAAGAAGCTTATTTTAACTCCTAAAACTTTTTGTAAAGAGATCGTTCCCGATAGATAGTGTACATGGAATGGTGATTCATCTGGCATCATCTTTCATTTAACAAATACTAGTACTATTCAATGGAACATACAACTTCATAAGCAGCTTTTTAAAACAAAATTAAACATACAAGAAGCCTGAAGAGTAAAACAAAACTTCTGAATTGTAAAGAAATACATTTATATATTTCGTCACTGAAGTAGGACACATTTGGACATCCAGTTGGGAAATGTGCACAGCTTTCATGATTCAAGGTGCCGGTTCCTGCCAGTTCTGCACAGAATCCTTTAAAAAGACAAATGCAGTTTTTGAATCATTGATGCCAAAACTGCTAGGATTTTGATAAATAAAATGTCCTGTCCTGAATCAGATTATATTAAGTACCTTCTACAATTCTTGGCCGGACTAGATCATAGCAGAATTCAAGAAGAGCCGTCTTTTTCTGGTTTGGAATACATAAATATCTTTGCTTCAGTGTTCGATCGTAAGAACATTTTAAATGCTCAGCTGATCTTCTCCATTCTTCTTCTGTTTTTGGACAAGATTTTACTGGATGTACAGGGTACCGATATTTTGGGTCCTTAATGATAAAATACAACGTTTGACAATGTTAGAGACAATTTTTTAACGTTAAAAGTTACATAAGTATCATTTTTCCTTCATATATTCATGTAACAAACCTTGTTCTGAAAGTCAAGCAGATCGGTAAAAGTCGGTAAAAGAGCTTTTAAGCTCATGCTCGTTGTTATGTTTAAATAGTCCGACTATAAATGAAATTTACTATTACTACTACTAGTACCAAAATTAAAACTTTTTTAATATTATTCTTATTTTCAAATTTGGAGATTAAGTCAACGATAATTAACAATTTACAGGCGATTAAATATTTGATTACAGTCTGTTTCATGCATATGATCCTGAGGCCCGATATTGGATTTCGGATCCGATACACCTTGATACATACATATTTATCTGTAAACGGGTATTGATTCAAACAATAAACTTTCTCCAAGAAGTTCGCTCGAATTACTAAAACAAAATTCTGTTTAATATGGATAAACCACATTAAAGTAAAATACTAGTATATGTTGTTTTTTTTTAGTATACCTGTGCACTTTGCATTGTTTTCTTCGGTCTCACCCAAGCTTTTGAACAGAAAGTATAGGTTTCCGGTTGTGGATTATTTAAAAGGACAGTAACTCTGAGTTTGGCTTCTAAAACAGGAATATGTTCTTCTTTGATTAAGAACTACAGATGTGTGCCAAAATTGAAGATAATTTTATTTTTTTCTCTATATATTTCATTGAAAACATCATTTTGTAAAATCACTGGCAAAAGGTCAATTTTTATCCAATTTCATTATTTTTAACATCAGGTTTAATGTCGTCGCATTTAAGAGGGCCGACTATTATATAATAGTTTTCATTGCGCATCATAGTAAAATGAAGCGAATTTACGGTTTTAATGTAACTTTTTTCGCTTAATTATTAAAATAAACAAAATTAAGAAATTGTAGGTATAAAATTGTAATTACAACTTGATATAACTGATTTTTAAACCGATTTTGCAATTGATAGGTAGGTTGACGTCGTTGCAGTGTGTTTTTGACGTTATAATAATCTGTAGCTCTTAAAGAAAGGGGTAATAAAAATATTATTAAAGAAAAATGAATAAACATACGCTCTTGAAATTTAAAACATAGAAATTTGAGAATATCTCCAATATTTTTATTATGTTTTCATGTGAATCCATTGACTGCGTCATATTTTGTAATACTCTATAAAAATAGTAAAATTTGCTAATTTTTTTGCATTTTGAGATGCCCCCTCTAGTAGCAAGGCGGTAGAATTTTGTGTTTCTTACATATATTATATAATATAGTATTACTCATCAAATATTATAGTTTGAACAAAATGTCTATTGTAGTATTTGTATAATTTGCTTTAAAGTTCTAAATAATGGCATTTTCCTATATAATCCTATAGTAAATGTACCTGTATATTGAGACGGTCCCTCGAAAATACCTGGACAGTAGATTTCCCCCAAACTTTGCATGTACACTGAACTTAATGTAAGTTATATATGGTATAAAAATGAAGAGTTTCGCTATTGTAGTTTTCACACAATAAAACTATAGTCGCCCCCCTTAAATTGCAATATTTTTAAAAACATTGTTGCTGATCAGGTAAAAACTGTTCATGTCAACTACAACAATTTCTTTTATATTATCAAAAAATTTGTGGTCAAATTTGTCAAGAATTGTTGTCATACCATTGATTTAAAAAAAATGTTGTTTTCAATGAAATATATAGAGAAAAAATAAATTTATCTTCACTTTTGGCACACATCTGTACTCGAAACAATCAGTTTTGATTTTAGACAGAGACATATAATCTTTTTTATGTCTCTGTTTTAGCCTATATTAAAGGCTACCTTTTTTACTCTCTGCAATGACAAGGATATCATCCACATCAACTATAGATTTGAACGACTAAACTTTATGATAAACTTCTTGACTTCATTTATAATCGCCAAATTTCTGTTTAATCACGAGGCACAATACCATTACCACTTGCATATGGAGTTTTGTATTTTTTCATATTTGATTCGCGATAGATACTAGAGCTTCTTCTAGGTACAAACAATTTCTAAAATAAGACAATCTATTCACAAATAATGTGATGATACAAGGTTGCCAATAGTTTCGTTTGACGTCAACATTTCGCGAATTCTACATGGTCGATAGAATGTCCATGTAAGCAAATACAATCTGTCGTTAATGTGAATGTTGACTGATGTAATGCCTTGATTTTAACACTGAATTCTCTTCATAATTGCTTTTAAAAATTTATTCATTTTTTCAGTACTATAATAAAAAATGCTTTAAATAGTCTTAGGCAAGGGACAAACGCTGAAGAAGTTTTAGTACCTTTAATTTGGATAAGTACATACCCCCTCCCTCCAAAAGGGATGACATGGTCTTGTGTATTAAGAATCTCTAAATATAAACTTTTCGCAAACGCCCAGTCTCGGTAGCTCTCTTTCTGTATCAGTTGAAAACGATATAGTGAAAAAAAAAACCAGTTTATAGAAACAACAGGGTTACATTTTTGACATATAGCGCATAATATAAGAATACGAAAATGGGAAGAAAGGACTCGATCCCACAATCAAGGGGGCCGACCGGGTTTTTATTGTATGAAAACTACAAAAGAGAAACTCTTTATTTTTATACCATATCTATAAACTTACATTGACTTCAGTGTACATGCCAAGTTTGGATAAAATCTTCCGCCCAGGTATTGTTAAGGGACCGTCTCAAAATACAGGTACATTTACTATAGGATTATATGGGAAAGTGCCAATCTTTTGCACGTGAAAGCAAATTATACAAATACTACGATAGACTTTTTGCTCAAACTATATATATATATATATATATATATATATATATATATATATATATATAATTAATACTATATTGTACATTATATGTTACAAAAACCACAAAATTCTACCGTCTTGTTTCTAGAGGGGGCATCTCAAAATGCCAAAAGATAACGAATTTCCTTGTTTTTATAGAGTACTACAAAATATGACGCATACAAAGGATTGATACAAAAAATAATAAATATGATGGAGAGATTATCAACTTTCTATGTTTTATATTTCAAGATATATATTTATTACTTTTTCTTTTATAACATTTTTTACTACCCCTTCTTTAAAAGCGTCACCTTATCTACATGTAACATCGAAAACACTCGATTACGACGTCAATCTACCAATCAGTTAAAAATCGTTTTAAAAATCAGTTATTTAAAATTGTAATGATATTTTTCAACCCGTTATTTCTTAAACTGGTTTAGTTTCATTAATTTAGTGAATACAGTTGCTTTAAAACAGTAAATAATAACTAAGATGCGCGAAATATTGCGAAATGGAAACCCCAGTCGGCCTCCTTAAAATGAAAAAAGGGGGGTGGGTCATACAGTCTAATATCAAGGTCGTAAATTTATAACTTCTGTATGTGTGTACATCTTTTATTTCCTGGTGGCATCTCAAGGTGCTTTTGAGTTTTTGCAATTAATTTTTTACCATGACTCTCCATTGCCCTGCCAGCCTTAAAGTGCCCCCAGCCCCTCTCCCTTTAGATTCGTACATGCTCTTCTTTTTTCATTAAGCGGGGGACACAGATACTCTATATTTGCTTGTTTATTTTCGTTAACTCGCTTTGTATGATCATGTATTTGTATTGTCTCCCACTTAAGATGGGGGATATTATTTTCGGTCTGTCTGTCTAGCTGTATTTCTGCCTGGAACACGTTCCCATGCGATATCTCTAGAAGCCTTTGAATCCCTATGGCATAAGCATGATAAGGAAGACCCAAATTGTTTTTGAAGTCAATGTCACTAATTCATAAATTCTGTCCGATTCAAAATTTTCGTTTCCTCGGATTATCTCGAGAAGCCTTCGAACTTTTGCATGACTTAGACATTTAAACAACAATCCCTAGGACCTACAGAAAACCCCTTTGAGGTTAAAGGTCAAGATCGTTAATTCATACATTCTTTGTATCTTTAGCACTTTCATTTCCAGAAGATATTTCAAGAAGCTTTTGAGCTCCTGCAATGAAATTTTATACCATAATTCCCTATGGCCCCACCGTTCTTCTTGAAGTCCCCCTTTTCGACCCCCTCCTAGACCAGCGCATGTTCTCCTCTTTTTTCTTAAGCAGGGGGGGGCAAAGATTTTCTAAATAAACTGTTTAAACTGTCAGATTTGCGCATTATTTTTATCCAAATTGGTTTGACTTTAACTACATATAATTATATCCGTGATCAAGTACACATCATAAAATTAACGCCAAACAAAATACGTTTTAGATGCAAAGAGTACACATGAGGAACATTTTGTTTTATGCAGTGCATAGTTTTTATTAGTTTTGTACTCAGTTGGATATGAAAATTATGCCAATTTCGTCATAAATTATAAACATATCTATTGTATTATTAGTATAAAAATGATAACTTGATTATAACTGACTAGTACATCTGGTTAAAGCTAAGAACATCGCATCCATTATAATTTTCTTTTATCTCCGCCATGAACTTCCGTCTCATTTCTTCTATTGGTTGCTTGTCACCATTCAAGTATGGCAAATGCTCTTTGGGATCATATTAAATTGTAACTTTAATAACTGACTAGTACATCTGGTTAAAACTAAGAACTACGCCTCCATTATAAATTTTCTTTTATCTCCGCCATGAACTTCCGCCTGGCTTCTTCTCCTATTGGTCGCTTTTCACCACTCAAGTACGGCGCATGCTCTTTGGAATCATATTTCCGGTTGAACGGTAACTCTAGAAGAGGTTGTCGAAATTTCTGCATTAGATAACACCACGCCTTCTCGGGTTTATCATTAAAAAGAATAGGAATTTCACAGCGAGTGTAGAATTCGGGGTGTCTCTCAAGTCCATCAAGAATACCCATCATCTTCTCGTTAGCAGTGTATACCTCTCCTTCCACATTCTGAGAATTAATAAAAAGGAAGTGTTGATAACAATCAAATTATACGTAATAATAAATGTAGAAAATAGAAAAATAATCACAGAATTTTGTTTAAATTATATCTGCACTAACATCACTTAAAGATATGAAACCTTGCATATTTTATTAATGTTTAGACAACGCACTCTTTTAGTAGGTTTGGGAATGTAAATGATGGATTCGAATGCTGAGCCACCTTAATAAGTGTGACAGAAGGTGGACGTCATCTCAAGATTCAAAAAAGATTTGGACGTGAAACAACCTTAAAAAGATGCACGAAATGTGGAAACACTCACTTCCAGATTTTGAAAGTAACCAACATTTAGAAAACGAACGCCGAAAACTACAAATAAATTCTGAAGTATTTCAAAAAAGATATTATAAATTTGCAATTTTTAGCCGGGCTTATTGCTCAAAGAGCAATTGCCGGCTTATGTGATCCTGTTCAAGGCAGGATGTTGACCCCATAGTCGCCATTTTAAAGTTACTGCAAAAATATAGTTCTTACACTCAACCGCTTTTGAGATAATACAAACGCTAAATAAAGACACAAAAATAAAACGAAGATTTATCTATATAAAATAAACATTAGTAGTAATGACTTTGAAAACTTCATAAGTAAAAGAACATAGTTCATTAGCGTAAGAATTTTTGATAATCAGTGTTACCGTAGTTTTCTACACATACGAGGTAAAGCAGGAGAGGGAACCAGACTGGCCTGTTTGTTTACATTCAGCTGCGGTACCAGATTAGTTCTGATTCTGACAAAATCGGACCGTGGTATTAGAATTGAAAAACTCTCTGTCCGTGTCTTATCATTCATATTGATAGTTTTAAAATATTTTTTTCATCAGAAGATAAACGTGATTCATGTAAGAAATCCATTCTACTCTGTAAATGAGCCCGGCTGTCTTTACTTCTGAGTACTTTGATTATTTAGAAGCGACAGCAAAAATGAATTTCATTCATTAGAAAATACAATCGATGAAAAAAAGACATTTTTCATATACATGTACTTTGAAACAGTAGTCAGTAATATTCCGATTAATAAGCCTCTATATAAGTGAAGATCAATGTACATTAATTAAATTGAACCTGCGTTTAGAAACAGGGGCAGGATTACTATCAAGGAATTTCATATGTATGGGGAAAATCAAATAACTTAATTTAATACGAATCTTTTAATTCAAATAAATTAAATATAGTACGAGCAGTGAGAAAACTGGTTAAATGCTCTAATGATGACAGTAAAAGCGTTCCATAGTTATACTTACATGAGCGTTAGGTACATTTGGTGCATCCAATAAAAATGGAACATTGAAGCGAGTCGCCACAACGAGCGGGTATTTCGTCTCAGTTAGTCCCAACCCTTCAAACTTACAATCCCCTGACTGGATACCACTCGATATTAGGTGGTGATTCGGCTGATCTTTCCTCAAAGTCCCATACACAAACACACGTTGCATTTTCACTCCGTATAACACTACAAGTGTTGATATGTTACCAATCATTCGTTGCAGAATAGATCGACTGAGTATGGATTTTATTACGAGTACCCGGTATATATCTGAGCGTCCTTTATGATGATTGGATTGGTTCGAATTCCTTACATAATATTTCGAGAATATTAATAATAAATTGCGTAAGGTTGATAATATAAAATTTTGATGTATTTTTTTTTCATAGCATGGCAAAAACAAACATAAACTCAGTCATGGAAACAACTCAAATGAAGTATAATATTGTTAAATTCAAATACGGCTTGGTATTTGCAGAGAGCAAATACGGCTTGATATTTGCAGAGAAAGAGAGAGAGAGAGAACTTTTATGTAAATCTATATGGCGTTGTACTCTGTGAATTTAAATCCCTAGTGGTTGATCTAAATTACGACCTGGTATAAATATAAACATTTTCAGAACCTTCAACTTAGCAAGTTATCTTCCGGTGTGACTATCCATATCAAACGATTGTTATAAATACATGTGATTTTTAAGTTTAAACAAACTATGCGGGTATTATTTTAACATAAATAATTTCTAAAGTTTTTTTTTTCTAGCATCGCCCAATTAGTTGATCTCAATTTCGATTCACATTCAATTTTATTCAATATGCATACACATAGCTGCAGATCTGTAGCGTTATGGTTTTATATATATTTGATAATTTGTCTTTTACCATAACGCTACAGTGCTAATGCAAAAAAAGGTGCAATTTACGGCGCAATATTTTTTGCGCACTTTGGGGGAGAATTTCTCCACTTTCCTGCATCGGTCAATCAAATACCTTTCATTCCCTAATTTTAGACACATTCTATAGCCAATGTGTATATTTTATCCACCTCCCAACCATTTATAGCTGTCTCTTCAGGCAATAAACTCGCTTTTTGCATTACGGGATCTGTAGCGTTATGGTCAAAGACAAATATATAAAACCATAACGCTACAGATCTACGGCTAGCATACACAATACTGTATAGTTCTTTAGAGCAAATTAAATTTTACTTCAACTACAATCAGTTATATTATTCAGATACCCTCAGTTGAATCTGATAGCATGAGTATGTATACAGTTCTAAACCACTGATTTCAATTATGGAACACTTTTATTTATGTTCCGTCATGCGCGAATCTATAGGGGTGGGTCCGCCCTCCCGGAATTTGCAGATTTATTAAATGTTTATACTAACCATGTTAATGTGATCTTGGACCATTTAGAAAACGCTGACCCCCTCTAACAGGCACTTGATTCGTATACGGGGTACCCCCTACTTATATTCAGGGGGTATCCTGTATATGAAACAAGTGCCAGTGCCCCCTCCTCGAAAACATGGACCATTATAAAAGTCATGGTTTCACACGTTTGGGAAAGGAGTTTTCGTTATTTATTTCTTTTAATTGGATTTAGTTTTTATTGACTGGGGTGGACCTTTGAAAAAGATTCTGGATCCTTGTGTAACCGTGTATAGTTTGGGTCTAAAAGATGTGTCGTTGATCGGGCAAGAGGGACTGTTGGCGGGGGAGTGAGTGGCGTCGTTGGCCGGAAGTAGTAGAGCCGTATTCCAAGGACTCTTCCCGATAACACATATAAAAGTCCAAAGTAACGATGAATATGGTTTCCGAATTTATTAAAGGTTTGAACGATGGACAACAATTTTAACAATAAAGAATAAAATGCGGGTACTCAGACGGAAGTGGCCGGTAATGCGTCTGGCCTCCGAACTGACACATACAATTCAGACACTGGTATATATAATAGTTCTTTAACAAATAATTAGTTAATTGAGTAAATAATGACAGGTGTTGAGCAAATTACCTTGCGTGAAAAGCTTTGATAAGATGGACATAAAAGAAGAATTAATTGAATAATTTCATGAATGTTTTTATAAGGTATTAGAAAGTCTTGAGGGTATTTGACACTCTGTCCATTTGTAGTTCGAGATAATTGTCTAGTAGGTGTCACTATGCAATTAAAAGTAAATAATTGAGTAATCCGTAGTCCAAGAATAAAGATTTGAAATTAATATCTAGAAAAATAAATGATAAAACATGATATTAAATTGAAAACAGAAGTTCAGTCAAATTTGCACGGTGATACTTGCCTGCATGTTCGTGTTGTCATGTTCTAAATTTTGAATTTACCGGGTGGGAGTAAATACAAAAATTTAGAACATGACAATGTTGTCATGTTCTAAATTTTGTATTTACTCCCACCCGGTAAATTCAAAATTTAGAACATTACAGTGTCATGATTTATTACAGAAAAGAAAAACACTGATAGAGTTATTCTTCTTTATACCTCTGGAAAAAAAACTCGCTTGTAGTGATAGGATGTGCAAGTTTTAGATTAAAGAAAATAACATGATTAAATGAATTAAATGATTCTTCAGTTTAATACACCTATTTTTTTACTACGCAAAAATAAAAAAGAGAGGCCTTATTTCTTAATTTGTAGTCTATCTAAATAGTCTGATACACAGCTCTAATGTAAAAAATAAAAAAAAAAACACCTCCACCACCAACTGAAGAGACTGTTATCAAAATAATTTTGGAATGTTTTTGGATAACGACCTTTGATTTCGTAAATTAAATATATTGATATTTGTAACTGAAATCTATGATATCAAGAGTTTAAATTTGTCTTGCTGGTTTTTGTTCTTACCTTAAAAACCTTCACCAATATTACTGCTCTCTAGTATTCCTGCTCAACTATTTTTTAATCTTCTGCAGTAGCCGCATCTTAATGACAACACACCCATCACCAAAATTCCTGTTGTTTAATTTTCGACAAACATATGGGCAAAATCGAGTTGTATTTGGACAGGTGGTTCCAAAAATTACTCTCCTTTGGTTGTTCATAAAAGAGCAAATTTTCAGTCAACTGACCAAAATTTATTAGATTTCTGACATTTCTGAGGATTTGTTTATTATGCCCTGCTAACAGATTAAGGACAGACGACACATTCTTAAATGATACATATAATATATATTTTTTAAAGATTGTGTAATTGTAGTATAGCAACTTTAACATGTTTAGTAACAGAAAATTGAGACACCTTACCAGGCATTTGTGTAAGATACGAGATGAAGGTGTTTCCTATATGAACCTTTTGGGGATAACTTAAATTGTGAATATCTATGGCTATTTCTTAGTCATTTGATTTTTTAACACAATTAGAAACAAGCGTAGAAATCAAAGGGTAATTATAATTTTTAAAATATTTTTTAATAAATTACAAAGATTTATACAAAATAGATATCTTAAGAACACATCTTCTGACCTTAAAAGATTTGTATTGCTAGTAGATTTTTTAGGTCATTCATGATCTTTAACTTTTCGTACTACAATAAAAGTGTGGGGGCGGGGGCATCGCAATGCCAGGAATTCTGAGTAAACACGTTGTTGTTGGCCCCCTGGCTTTCATTCAATAGTTCGTAGGCTGAGTGTGTTACCCTGTTATTATACAAATATGTGTCCATGGGACAGCTACGTGTGATATACATGTACTAAAGTAGACGTTTGAGAAGCGTATGACATTTTTCTATTGGTACATTTTCCAAAATTATAAATTATACCTTACTTTTTTGAAATTTGAAAATCTTTAGCAGATAAACTAAGTGTACGGTTTTGATAATTTTTGCCCCATGATCTTGTGTTCTGAAATGGCGTTACTATTAAATATATAGTAAAAAGAAATATTTTTTTAGCTCTTCCTTCTCCTGGTTACTTTGAAATCAATACTTTTCGTGTGTGTGTGTGTGTGGGGGGGGGGGTTAATTTTCGTTGTTTTCGAGGTATGAGGAAACCCACGAATTTATGTTCACCATGAAATGTAAAATGTCATATACATAACCACTCAACAATTCTTCAACCATGAAATCCAATCCCTTTGAACCCATAGGGAGTTTTGGTGTTAGTTTGTATAAAGTGAAAGATATTAGTTCTTCAATGAAAAATCTCCTTCTCTTCTTCCTGGTTCTGCTAAGTGCAAGATTATGATGAGCTAGGGTAAATCTTCCTAAACTGGTGAAATTTGTTGCCCCATAGTCAGGGGCTCAGTTTGGGGAGACGGAGGGGAATTTCAAATATATATATATATATTATAAAAATACCTTATGCTTGTTCATTAAATAATATGCGAACACTTATAGCACAGGAGTCTGAAGTTTTTATATATATAAAAAAAAAAAAAAAAAAAAAAAAGAAAAAAAAAAGAAAAAAAATCCGGAAAAAAATTCCCACCCTCAACAAAAAAAAACAAAACTTTTTTTTTTTGTTGAGGGTGGATGGGAATTATTTTTTCCGATTCAAAATTCAGACTCTTCTGCTTAGGGAGGCCGATGTGAATGAGAGAGGATGAGTTGGGTTTACTAATAATGCCCACAAACTATTGTTTTAGATAGCCGTGTGTCATACAGTGGCAAGTACTGGAAGGTAGATTTGTAAGTTCTAAATCAATTATTTATTCTGATCCCACACCATCCTTTTTTTCTTGATTTTGGGCAAAAAAGCTTATTTAGTTTTATTTAATAATTACTCTACGAATCGTTTATAGTGATACATTATACCTAGGTGATCTTGAAGGCCCTTGGGGCAGGGCCTCCCGTTTTCTTTTTTTTTTTAATCGTTGTGACTTCATTTATTTTTCAATCACATGTGAAACTTTACCTTTCATGCAGGTGCCTGTGTTTTTACGTGGTTATTACACAATTTTCAAGACCTTGACATTGCCGTACGACACAAATTTTCCTATTCAGTTACATGTGCATATGTATAGTTTAATGTAGTGTATGTATCCATTACCATAAACTTCTCTCTCTCTCTCTCTAATTACAACTCTGCTCCTAATAAATTCTACACGAAAGTAGACTTGAAAGGGAATGCATTTATAAAAATAAATCACTATTTTGGGAAATAACTGCCCGTAATAAATTAAATTAATTAACATTTTTGCCCTGAACAGCTGGAAAAAATAAATTGGCTATTTTATGAAAATTAGAAACACCAAGGTGTTTTTCATGGAAATGGCAATTTAATATAATCAGAACAAGATTAGTAACGAGGAACAGTGTCAATTAATGCTTTGTAAATAATTAATATATTACCTGCAAACTGCACTTGCAGTGTTCCGAGAAAAGAATGTCGATTTTTTTTAGTTCATGCACTTTTTCACCTGTCAACATTTGTTTGGAATATTGTACAGTAGTAAATTTAGCTCGTCTGAGCTAAGATTGTCAATCAATCTATGTTTCGTGTAATGTCTGTAATGTTTTTCGAATATTCATTTTCAACCAGTTGCGCAGTGGTTAGATCGTCTGCTCAAGAGTCGCGAAGGAGTTGATCCCTACGTCGCGGGTTCGAATGCTCAATGGCCCCTAAGTGCCTAGTATAGGACAAAATTTGTAGCTCTCCAACGGCAAGTGGTGGCGTCTCCGTATAGGTGAAAAATTCTCGAAAGGGATATTCACATGCAATCAATCGATCAACCAAACTAGCATTTATTTTCATTTATTTTAAAGGGTCGCAATGTTTTTAGAGATAAGACTAAGAGGCTGGCATTGAACATGAGACTGAACTCTGGAATTACATATTGTACTCAAGAACATCATAAATACAGGCTTGATTCAATAATAAGTTCACTCACAGGTAACTGACAGGACTTAATTACCTGACATTTGTGGGCAATTTATAAACATTTAAAGGGACGTAACCTACAATGTATACACGTGATGGCCCTCTTTCTACGTAACCTATGTCCCACTCTTGTGACACTGTCGCGCAAGCAAGCGTTTTATCAAGTATACACAAGATTTAGGAAGTAAATTAAGTTTCAATTTGCACTTTTACATATCAATCTCCTTGTTGATAATTTAAGATGGAAGCCTGTGCTTTAGTACTGGAAATGTGTTAATCATGCCTTTGTTGACAATCTATCTAGAGTCAGATGTTCTGAATCCGCTTTTAATTAGATTGCTCTGTTGAGACATGGGTGCTAAAGGCAATGACAATTAATATAAATATGTTGTTTTTCACAAAATAAGTCCCCTCCTCTTTTGTTCACCCACATATTAGCTAAAAGTTGGTGTGAGGTTTCAGGTGACATTTCGTGTGGTGCTCGTTTGTAAAGTTTGATTCATTTTCGTTGCCATCATCTACTGAACACTGGGCTAATTTCAACCACAAGACACGAGATTCAAGTTTTTTGAAATGGGGAATCACAATTTTCTTTCAAAGGTACGACATCACAGTAAAAGTCGTAGGGCATTTCGAAAAATATTTTCTAGAGACATAAAAAGAGGCATAAAAAGATAAAACATATGAAAGGTTTCTGCTTGACTTTATTCCAATCGAGTAAATTGGGCTATAATAAATTCTATCCAAGTCCAATAACTAGAGCAACACTGAAAATAAATCAAACAAAAAATATTTAGTGCTGCATTATAATTCAATTCTTATGTTGTAATAGTCAGTCTTTGACCTTTCCTTCGCATTCCTTTTGATATTATGAAAATAACTTATCTCTTTATTTTTATAAACCTTTAATTTGCATAAGAATAAAACTGGTGACAAGGTAAGCATAAAATGATTTCCCAGGAACTTATTAAGTCTATTTCTTGGGATATTCCTTGAAATTCTGGAAGCACATGCGCAAATACGAGGGGTGATCAAAAAGTTCGCGAACTAATTGAATAACTTCCATAAAAGAAATGATATAAGGTTTCAGTGTTGATTTTTTTTTTAAATTTAGTGCTCTCCGGTTTTAACGCCCATGCGCGTATCACGTGATCTAGGCGGTCACGTGACATGCTCCGTAGCGCTTTAAATAAGATTTTTCCGACTATTATATTTCTTCCATTGCAGGTTTTTTTTTTTAAATAACAAAACAGTTCATTTTTTTAAAATGGCCAAAATTCGACAATTGTATGGATCATGTGGATGGATAAGGATATCCTTTTCAATAATGAGCATAGTGACCATCATAACCCGAGTACCCTGTCTTTAGAGCGTCGTTTACTAGTATTCAATGCATGTGGATAAAGTGTGGGCGCCTTCTTTTTGTCATATATTATATGTTTGAAGTCTAAAGTTAACGAGATTTTAAGGATTTATCAATTATATTATTGTTAAAATATTCAACTATTTTTCTAAATTTAATTTTGGCGACCTTTCATATAAGATATTGCTTAACTAAGGACACCTCTGTCTCTTCCCCAACTTGCTTTCACTGGGCAACGAAACAAACATCATTTTTAAACATATCCCTTCCTTTACTGTAACAATCAATCCAATTTATGACAAAATTACTTCAGATCTTTTTATTATTTAAATCTGAAAAGGAATTTTGAAGATATACGTTTAGTTTCACAGTCGTACTTGCGTACGACTGAGTCTACCATTTTTTTTTTGTCACAAGTGATCTACATATTGACGCCATTTTCATATTGTGACGTCACAAACATGGAGCAAAACATTTCTTTACATATGCTATTTATAGATCATGTGTATGACTCTATATGCAGGGACCTATATACTAGGTATACTTGGTATATAGGTCCCTGCTATGTGTACCAAATTTCATTCTGATCTGAATTGTGATTTTGTAAATATAAAGATAGTTCGCGAACTTTCTGATCACCCCTCGTAATGGAAACACAACGAACACCCCCTTCACTTAAAAAACCCCTCTCTCTTTTCAAAGAGGGATATATCATAAAGATATTCCAATATTGAAAATATTTTTTTTTATCAAGAAAACCATGATACTCGTTGTGCTAATGCAGATATATAGGTGACCTATTTTTTAAAATTTCTATTTGTCTGGGACTTATTTAAAGCTATCCCGTGACATTTATTCCAGAATGTGCGTTAAAAATAAAACCAGGCGCAGTAACCTTTTGAAATGACACTACTGCGTTTGTTTTAATTTACTGCAAGTACATGTAGTATACTAGTACTCAGGGTACATAAGATAAAAATAATTCAGGTAGTCGAATTGAAACCTAGTGAACTTTTATTGAACTAATGAACGCTACTGATATACATTTCAAATCTAATATAAACAAATTTTAAGCCTAATATAAAATTGTTCTAAATCTTATTGTTCTTCAAAAATAAAATTTTGGCTCTGAAACATAATTATAAATAATAATAAATAATAATAAATTCTTTATTTAGACAGGATAGCACAATTAGTACATATGACTAGTTTACATTGTGGTCCTTTTACTGTTACTAATTAAATTAGTTGGTGGTATAATCTTTATGTATATCTTTATTTCGTGCTAAACAAATCTTTTATATATACATGAAGGACTAATTGTGCATTTTATGCCTCATTAGAAAAACAAGAGGTTACAGGAAATTCGGGAAGATTAGTGGAAAAGGACCCAAATTAAAATGTTCGTTATACATGTAAGAGGTTGGTCCTGACCCAGACCACCAAGCTATATTTAGAACATGCAACCCCGTTATTCGGTCAAAAGCCGACGGGAACCTTTTTTGTTGCAATAAATGGACTTCTCACATCATAAGGAAGAAAATTAAATAAATAAACGAAATAAATAAAAACAACGACAAAGAAAAACAAATTTTTGAAAATATATAATTTATATAATAAATATAAATAAAACCGGTATTAATGTACAAACTAAAACAATTGATTTATAAAGCATAAAATACTGTTATTAATTAATACATGTACACAAGAAACTTACTTTGTTAAAAGCACCCCTTTCAAGCTTTCTAAAATTTGGCGATATTTTAGACTTTTTATAAAAAAAAATTAATAATGAGTTTGATCCCAACTTTTTCGCTAATTCATTGACAATTTCAATACGGGTTTCACCTTATTGCTCGAAATTTTAAATAGCTACATGATGATTAGAATTAATTTCTGCTTTCCAAATAGATACATCAAACATGTAGACATAGAATGGGCAAATCAAGGCTATATATCAAATAAAAAAAGAAATCTCGTTTTGTCCTTGTACTGAATATTGCACTTTCATTTGTGTATGTGTGTGTAAAATTTTAATGAGAGTTTGTTCTTTCTCCTCTCCTGAAGTATATGATTCATTTCTTTTATAGTTAGAGTCTTAAAAAGAGTTTCTTTCTTCTTAAAAATATATTGAAATAATTTTCATTTAAATTATACCCAGTAGTCAATGCTCACAAAGAGAAAAGTAGTTTATTTTTTTTTTATTGTTCAAATTATGTTGTCTTGGTACTCAAATAACGTGTAATGTGTGATGTTAAATTTGTATTTATTAATCATAAACCTTAAGAAGAAACTCTTTTAACTTTATAAACAAGAAAATATATAGTTTATCCATGTAATTTTGATGTCAAAATTAATCTATCTGACAAATCATTTCTCATTATATCCTGTTCTACAATTTTTTAATGACAAACATTTAAAAAAACGTGTCCTGAATAAGGTCTATATTTAAAGAATTGTCATATAATTCGGTAAAAAACTTTTAGGAAGAATACAATTTTTAACATTCTCGTCTTAAATGGGAAAAAAGAGCTACTGAAGGTTAGAATTGCATTGAATGAAATATTCTTATTGATTGTTCTTAATTATAATTATTTAAATACAAGATTTCCCTGAGTAGAAGGATATTTGGACAAAAAATAAACAGAGGTTCAAAACTATTGGTCATGGTCATGGACTTGCATGCAGAGAAAAGGGCTCGGTTGATCAACAGGGGTATATATTATTATCACCGGGTAAATTTATCTTGTTAACCGTTAATGGCACAACTACAATATTTTATTGCATAAAATTGCATTAAAAAATAAGTATTTTCACATTTTCACCGAGTCTCTGTTTTATCTATTATTGCACGTTTCCAGACCTTGCAACCTCCAAAAGACATCTATCAACATAAAATCAGCAAAAGTTCACGATGTTAAACGCCTAAGTCATGTTTCCAAATTGATAATGGTAATCTATCCACGGCCCTGGGAACAGGAATATACACCATTTTAGGATAAGGATTATGTAATTTCCAGTCACAGTTTCGGGCCAGTTTTATCACAAATATCCGGATTATCAGTTTAGCGTATTCTTTTCCCACACAAAATCTTGCCCCAGCTCCAAAAGCCGTGTAATTCATGCGATCAATACTTGAATCTCCATCCTGCCTTTCTAAATTTGGAAGTGTTTCCCATCTTGAAGGGTCAAACGTTTCTGGGTCCTTATACACAGGAGATGTGAGATGCGTGTCCCTAAACCCGATGGCTATAGTCCATCCCTTTGGTATTCGGTAATCCTGAAATGTTTAAAGATAAAAAAAAAAATAAGAAAAATTCTTTTAAAAGAGACAAAATATATTAAAGCAAAATGAGAATATATCGACATTTTTTTTTTCGCTGAAAAATAATAATAGTTCAAAAAAATAAATACCCCAACTTCAAATGTTCGTAAAGCTTTTCGATATCCTGCTCCAACTGGCGATGCTACCCTCAACACCTCTCGCACAACAGAATATA